AACTTTATTCTAAATAATATAACTTAACTAAGGAATTCTACTAACTAGGGCGTCGGAAATGTAACTAAGACCTTCGAGTAAGATAGCTATAGCCTATAGAGAAAGCGAATAGTATAAAGGAATTTAAGCCTAGAAGAGCTATTAGATAGCGATACGCCTTAGCGACCTAAGAAACTATTAAGTTCTCGTAGCCCTTAACCTTAGTACTATTAATAATACGAGAGTAGCTTAGGTCGATAGATATACGGTTGCTCTTAGCCTTTAGATTACTATATAGGAGATATAGTATCTAAATAGAGACTTTATACTCCTTTAGAGAGTTAAGGATCTACTCCGCTTCCTACTCTTTACTATTATTAGGCTAACTATCGAATATATACTCGAGGTCGTTAATAGTAAGATACTTATTAATAAGCTTACTAATTTTGCTTAGCAGAACTAGGCTACGGCCCTCAAGCTTCTTAACCTAGTTCGTAAAGACCTCTAGATTATATATGCCTTCGATAATAGTAGAGTAGCTAGTCTTATCTTTAGATGTAAGGCAGACCTTAATATATAGATAGATAGATATTTCATTTGCCTATTATAGTGCCTTTCGGCTTATGTAGGTCTGTTTCTATGTATTGTTTTAGGTAGGAAACCAACTTAGTTGGTAAAAACCTCCCTCCTATCCTATTTATAAGTATTAATCTTCCTCGTTTCCTTGTTTTCCTTCCTCTAGGGTATACTAGTGTTATAGTTGTTACCCTCTAACTACCTTGCCTGCTACCCTGCCCTTCTTTCCCTCTCTTCTTCCCTCCTTCTTATCTACTCCTTAGTTTCCCTTACTAGTACGAATTGTTATATAAATCCCTATTTAATAATCCACTTTACTATCCTCTTTAGGTCTTCTTTGCTCTAGATTAGCTTGTCGTATTCCCTTTCTATTGCTTTTAGTCTCTAATTACTTCTGCCTTCTAACTATTAAGGGTAGACTAGCAGCATATGCTTAGGGTTCTAAGATTAGTAGCTATATTAGTAAGCTCTGCTTTCAATTCCTAGGACGTTTCTTCTAAATAGGTAAGATCTAAGTCTAATATGTTCAGATCTAATTTAGATAGCTAGGCTTGCTTCGGCCCTGTTTAGGTCCTTATAGAGCTAGTAGTTGTATTGACTAAATTTAATTAGTACCTTTAGGGTTCCTAGTCTAACTTGTGTTTTGTTCTATTCCTGCTCCTATAGGTATCTAGCAATTGATTCTACTAGGCTTTGTTTCTCTCCCTTTAGCTTATCTTCCTTTAGCCTTATACTTAGTCCCTAAAGCTCTTTCTCTAGCATTTCTCTTATTAAGACTCTATATTGCTCTAGGTCTTTGACTTTCTAGGGAGTTATTTATAGTCTGTCTCGCCTCCTAGTCCTAATATACTAGGCTTTTATCTTGTCTAGTGCCTTTTAGATAGTCTATTAGGCTAGGTATTCTATTATCTTTGCTGTATATTAGTGTCTTAGTCCCTTAAAGTATTGTTTGACTAGTAGGATCCCTGATTCTATTTCTACTACCCTTATTAGTATAGTTTTATATGCTCCTAGGATTTTCTTTAGGCTTTGGGTTTAGGACCTGCTAACTGGTTGCTTAATCCTCTTTAGTGTTTTCTCCTAGGCTGTCTATATCTGTGCTCTATATAGCATTGCTAGCTTGATAATTGCTTTGTATATAACTTTAGCTTTCTCGAATATAGCCCCCTATATAGAGGCTATAAGCCTATTGATAGATTATATATTAGTATCTGCCCTCTGCTTTGCCTTCTTTACTTATAGTCCCTAATTTAGTTTTAGATCTAGCTAGATCCCTAGTACCCTAAGCTCTGTTAATAGTTAGGTTTCAAAGCCTTAGATAGTAATTAATTGCTTTATATTGTAGGTTGATTTAGCCTTGCTAAAGTAGATAAGCTAGTACTTTTCTAGGGCGAATTTTGCTCTATACCTCCTTACCTATTTTTTATACTCCTAGTGCTTCTCTTCTAGGATCTTGCAGTTAGTTTCTATTGTCTTAGACTAGGCTAGGATGTTTGTGTTATTTACAAACCCTAATGCTAATGTGTTTTTTAATTCTAGGAGTAGGAGTAGATCTGCTATAAAGATAAGGAAGAGGATTAGGGAGAGTATTAATCCTTAAGGGATTCCCTTTTTAGTTAGTATTAGGTCTGATTTGAATTTGCCTAGAATAAGCTATATTGATCTTTCCTATAGGAAGGACTAGATAAATTAGACTATCTAGTTTAGTATAGCTTTCTATTTAAGTATATATAGGAGCCTTTTATAGGAGATATTGTTAAAGGCTCCTAAGATATTAAGGGAGAGGAGGGTTACTACCTAGTTTTAACTATAGTACTAGATATGCTTAATCTGTTCTGTAATTAGTTCTATAGCTGTTAGTATTAACCTCTTCTTTCTTCCTCCTATCTAGCCTTTAGGAAGGATATTCCTTTCCTTAGTAAAGGTTGTTAGCCTTTTAGCGACAATTTTTTCTAGCACCTTGCCTATTGTATTAAGTAGGGCTATTAGTCTGTAGGCCTTAAGCTGTATATAGTCTTCCTTCTAAGGCTTCCTTAGCACTACTGTTAGGGACTTCCTAAATAGTCTTAGGTAGTGTCCTAGTGCTAGGCTTTGTAAAAAGATATTAGCTAGTGCTAGGGCTAGCCCCTTCCTATATGCTTTTAGAAGTTTGTTATAGATCTTGTCTTCTCCTAGTGCCTTATTGCCTAGAATTTTCTTTAGGATCCTTTTAATAGTTTCGGGTTTAACCTAGGTGTCTCTTAGTATACCTAGTAGTAGAGTCTCTTGTTCTTTCTCCTTTATATCTAATAGGTCTGCTTGTACTTTTCTATAGAAGAAGTGTTAGCCTAGGGCTCTTACTTTCCCTTCTATTGTAGTCTATATTTGTCCTTGTTAGTCTATAATATCCGGGAATTGTAGTAGTATATCCTTATCCTATTTAGGTCGCCTTGCCTATTTAGCTATCCTCTATATCTCCTCTAGTTTCTTTGTAATTATTCCTATTATAGATCTCTATTCTTGTATCTTGTCTTTCTTAATCTAGATCTTCTTTTCCTAGTAGGCTTTATTATAGTTGTCCTATGCTTCCTAGGTATAGGTTTGTGTCTACTACCTCCTAGCCTTCCTTGCTACTTTAACCTTCCTTATACACTTACTAGTCTAGTATAGTTGCTAGTATAGTAAATGTTTCTTTACTAGGGTATGCTTTCTAGCTACCTGTTTTAGGATTCCTATTAGTTCCTCTACTACCTTATTAATATCCTCTAGCCTTAGTAGGTGCTTTGTTAAGAGTTCCTCTAGTTTTAGGTCCCTTTCTACTTCCTCCCTAATCCTGCCCTATTAGGCACCTTTCTAGTTAAGCTTCTCCTCTAGTTCCCTTTCCTAATTGGCTTAGACATTTAGCTCAATCTATACCGGGAAGTAGTCTAATAATTCTTCTAGTTCCTAGTTAACCCTATATCTTATAATCCCGTTCCTAATCTAACGTAATGCAAAGTATAGGTCTAGTATACTACCGCTTCCTCTTACCTCCTAAGTAATTAGTCCCTTTAGGGTAACAATTTCTATTCCTTCCCTCTCTAATATATTAATTAGTCTTCCTGCTAGGAAGTAGTGTACTAGGGTAAAGTCTAAGCCCTAGAGGGGGTAGTAGAGGTTGAAATCCCTAAGTAGGATTTAGTAGGTGTTCCCCTAGATAACCCTAGGTAGTCTTTCTAGGGTTTTTAGTTAGGTACTGCTTCTTAAGTCTAGTAGTAGGTTGTATATATAGTAGACTTAGAGTGTACCTTAGGATGTCTCTACTTAGACTAATATTAGGTCCCTATCCTCCTATAGTACAGCCTACTAGGTTTCTATATCTATCTCCTTACTAATATAGATGCATGTCCTTAGGGCTCCCTAGTTGTAGATAATTAGGTAGTATCTTAGGTCTTTAACTATTGCTAGTCTCTTTATATATAGGTTAAGCTAGGGCTCTTAGATTGCAATAATATAATGTTCTTTCAGGTCTAGTGCTTAAAGGAAGCTCCTCTATACCTTGTCTTTACTCTTATTAATATTGTACTATATAATATTTAGTAATATTGCAATGTTTATTAGGTTTTATCTATATTATTTCCCTATAAGTTTTCCTTTAGTCTTTCCTTACTTTAGACTAACATTTAACTAAGCTTTATCTGCCCTACTTCCTTTCCTATAATATTAAGGTATCTTAGTCTCCCTAGTTGCTAGTAACTCTCTTATACTAGTAAGGCCCTAAATGTGAATCTATTATCTTATCTAGACCTCTTTTATAGTACTTAGCTAGGTTGCTTCTGCACCTAGCTGCCTTAGCTTGTTATATATCGTTTTAGGGTGTTAATTCTAGCTTCCTTTACCTTCCTAGCTACCTATATTCTTACTAGGCATTCCTTCGCCTAAGAGAGGTATCTTTTAGTATAGTATACACATCTTGCTTTTCCCTTATATGCTTTGCATTCTTTAACCGACCTTAATATATAGGCGATTAGTATCCTTACTAGCTACGAGCTTAACTATATCTTATCTAAGACGAGTAGACTCCTTAGTAGGGCAGTTCTTATAACTACCTTCGCCTACCTTAAAGAACTTAGTAGGCTTAGGAATAGAGATAAGCTCGTAGGCGTAATCAGGTCGAAGGGTAACTTATTTACTTAATTTATCTTTCCCACACCACCATTTTACCAAGTAGCCAGCACAGGCACCACAAGTTACTATACGATGTTCCATAGTGTGGGTTACTGGCGATATGGTCTCACCGAGACCGGAGCGGCCCTGGGTCCGTGGATTCTCGAATAACCGGAGTGGATTCTCGAATAGCCTCGCCCGGTGGAAGGTGCATGCAAGGAATGGAGGTAGGCCCTCCTCCGAGCTCGGCTATACACCGGCCGCAGCTCCGCCTGAGACATTGTCGTCGCATCCCGGTGAGGCGAAGATATGCGATAGGATAGCTACAGCTGCGGCTACGGCCAAGCCATCACGCAACATCACGCAAAGTGTTGGCCGCTTTGAAAGCACTATGATGGGTTCCCATCAAATTGTGGGTGAGTTCTGACCTTCTTTGTCCAACCCTGGCTACTGACCAGGTCGCAGCTGACAATGGAAGAGAAGCACGACGAGAAGCAGCTTCTCACCATGGCGAGTGAGCGCACGCCGCTCATTCAGAGCGTGCCAGCAGAAGAGCGAGAGCCTCGATATCCTCACAATCGTGTAAGTGAAGCATTGACTGACATTGATGTCGAAAGCTTGAGTGCAATCTGACGTTCGTCTAGGTTCGCCGAGCTTGTACGATTGCTCTTACCTGCGCCGTTATTGCCCTTGCTGTCGTGTTTCTCGGAGCTGCACTCGCTGGAAATACAGGACTTCTTGGAGATCACAGAACGGACGCTTCTACCGAACACTTTGCTACAGCGGAGATTCTGCTTCACGAAGCATGGCCAGAGTCCGAAGGGATCAGCTATGAGCAGCTGAAGAAGACGCTGTTGGAGACACCAGATGGAAAGAAGGCACGGGAATGGAGCCAATATTACACAGCGGGACCACATCTTGCCGGCAAGAACTTGAGCCAGGCTGAATGGACAAAGGACAAGTGGATCGAGTTTGGCGTCCACTCGGCGGAGGTCGTTGCCTACGATGTCTACATCAACTATCCCCTTGACCATAGACTTGCTCTGCTCAAGGATGGCCAGGTCGACTTCGAGGCGACCTTGGAAGAAGATGTCCTTGAAGACGATCCGACGACCAACTTGACGGACAGAGTGCCAGTCTTTCATGGCTATTCGGCGAGCGGCAATGTCACTGGGCAGTTCGTGTTCGCAAACTATGGGTCTTATCAGGACTACGAAGATCTGGTCAACGCGGGCATTGATCTGAAGGGAAAAATCGCACTCGTCAAGTATGGTGACATCTTCCGGGGCTTGAAGGTCAAGCGTGCATCAGAGCTTGGCATGATCGGTGTGGTCATGTACAGCGATCCCGGCGACGATGGCGACATCACCGAGGAGAATGGTCTTAAGACTTATCCAGATGGCCCAGCAAGAAACCCCAGCAGCGTCCAGCGGGGCAGTTGCCAGTATTTGTGTAAGTCTGTCGAACACTTGTGCCGATATCTGCTAACACCTCTCCAGCCGTGGCACCGGGTGATCCAACCACTCCTGGCTATCCTTCGAAGCCTGGTGCTCCTCGCGAACCAGTAGACGGCAAAATCCCAGACATTCCCTCTCTTCCAATCTCGTACAAGGAAGCTCTGCCACTTCTCAAGGCCTTGAATGGGCATGGACCAAATGCCTCTTCTTTCGGCTCTTCCTGGCAGGGCGGCGGTCTCGAGTACAAGGGCGTTCAATACAACATTGGTCCTTCGCCAGAATCTGTCACAATCAATCTGCACAACGAGCAGGAGTATGTTACGACACCGCTCTGGAATGTGATCGGAGTCATTAATGGTACCATCTCCGACGAAGTGATTGTCATCGGTAACCATCGTGATGCTTGGATTGCTGGGGGCGCCGGCGACCCGAACTCAGGCAGTGCATCTCTCAATGAGGTCGTTCGATCTTTCGGTAAGGCTCTAGCTGCAGGTTGGAAGCCGCACAGGACTATCGTCTTCGCATCGTGGGATGGCGAAGAATATGGTCTCATCGGCTCCACCGAGTGGGTTGAAGAATACCTCCCTTGGCTGGCTGGGACCACTGTCGCATACGTCAACGTCGATGTTGGTGCTAGCGGGCCACGATTCAAAACATCTGCTGCGCCGGTGTTGAATAAAGCAATATACGACGTCACATCACAAGTCCAGTCTCCGAACCAAACGATCAAAGGCCAAACAGTCCGCGACCTCTGGAATGGTCATATCAGCACTATGGGCTCAGGAAGTGACTTTACCGCCTTTCAGGACTTCGCTGGCATCTCGTCTATCGACGTCGGCTTCAGCCCTGGACCTACAGACGCCGTCTATCACTATCACAGCAACTACGACAGCTTCCACTGGATGGACAACTACGGCGACGTCGGCTTTCAGTACCACGTCACCATTGCCAAGATCATCTTGCTCTTGGTCGCAAAGCTTGTCGAAGAGCCCATCGTTCCACTCAATGCCACCGACTATGCGATCGGTCTTGCCAAGTACATCGACAGCGTCAAGGCTGTTGCTCAGGATAGCAAGCTAGACTTATCCACCCTTTCAGAACCTTTCGAGAAGATCGATGAAGCCATCGCCCACTTCAAAGACGCTTCAATCGAGTTCGACGCCAGTGCCGAAAGGCTCGTCGAGCTGATAAGCCAGCCCTCAGTCTCAAGTAAACGGAAGCAGAAACTCTACGAAGCCATCAAGACCACGAACCAAAAGTACAAATTCCTTGAGCGACAATTCCTGCATGGAGCCGGCTTGGATAGCAGAAGCTGGTTCAAGCATGTTGTCTTTGCGCCAGGTCTCTGGACAGGTTATGCTGGAGCCACGTTTCCAGGTCTGGTGGAGGCTTTGGAGGCGCATGATGGTGTTGCTGCGAAGAAGTGGGTGGGCATTATCACGGGGAGGATTTATGCTGCTGCGAAGCTTTTGCTTAAGCAGTGAACTGGGATGGATCGAGGTGGTGGAGAGGTGGTTTAAATGAGTGAATTTGATGGATAGAGATTTTGATGATGTCTATGAGAGAAGATATGAGGTTTCAGGTGAGATAACGCTCAAAGTCACAAATTTTGCTGAAAATGGGTAATTCCTGCATTTTACTCTTCCTCCATGTTCTTCTACGGGCTGAAGGTTTGCATCGGCATGAGCGAAAAGGCAGATATTGATGAGCTGTCAACGCGTGAGCAGACAAGAAACAGGGAACATAGATTGCTATACAATTGCCAGACACGCAGTCCACCTGCGCCGATCCATACCCTAAGAGGCAAGCACAAGAAGTTTCGACGGATTGAAGTGAAATGAGACATAACCTCGGGCACTTCAATGAAACTTTTCATAGTTACATATAGTATCGCTAAATCTTCAACCCTCACATCACATCTCACCTCCCACCTTGTTATCTACCAAACAACTTCAATTCAATCGGTCTCAAAATCAAATACGAAGTCGCCGCAAACGCAAACCCAAGCTCGAACCCAACATCTCCACCATAAGGCGCCTCGCCCGCGTGCAGAGCGATAGGACCCACGAACCAAGCTTGAGACATTCCAGTCACCATGCCCGCGACACCGAAACAGAAAGCAGCAATGGCCGCGATCCCGGGTGGGAGTTTGTCCGGTTGGTCGTAGTGTTCAGGATCATACCCGGAAAAGCCGCGTTTGAAAACGAAGTGTTCGGAAAGGGAGATGCCTTCGTAGATTGCGAGCCAGTAGCCGATGAAGTTCATGAAGTTTTCCAACACGGTTTCGAAGTGGCTGTACCCCGGGATTGCGATGGCGATGTAGACGCCCGTTCCGATGCCGGTCCAGATGAATCGCGGGACCCATTGGGCGTAGCGGGAGAGGACTTGGACGGTGAGGGCTACGGAGTAGATGTTGGGACAGTTGTTGGCGATTATTGTCAAGGCCATGATTACGAGGCAGAAGTTTCCGCATGTGCCGAGATGGTAGATCAGGACTGCGCCGAGGAGGCCGCCGGTGCCGGATTGGTCGTAGCCGTGTTGGTACCGGTTGTCGCCTCCGTTGGTGCTGGTTGCGCTTGTGATGGCGATTCCGAGCATTTCGGTGAAGAGGAGGGGGACGATTAGGCCGAGCCAGGTCCAGAAAAAGACTTTCTTCTTGGATTGGGTGGCTGGGTGGTAGACGGTGTAGTCAGCGGCGTATGATGTCCAGCCTGTTGCGAAACCATATATGACGGCGCCGAAGGAGAGGACGGAGCCCACCTCAGCTTTGCCGGTTTCCCATGAGATGTTCACAAAGTCGCCGCTGTGAGCGAAGACGCCGAAAGTTATCAGGAAAATGATCGTAGCGGGCAGCCAAGACCAGAACTCGTAAGCGTGCACGACCTTGTAGCCGAACATGGTAACCAGGAAGGTGCAGAAGGCAATGATCAAAATCCCGGCGAAGCCTGGAACGTCGTTGTTGACGGTGTTGATCAGTTGTGCTCCGACGATGGAATTCACGGCAGACCATCCGATACAGGCCAGGACGTTGAAGATGGCGATGAGCTTTACGCCCCACCAGCCAAACCAGAATCGGGACAGGACCATTTGTCGCAGACCAAAGGGTGGGCCGAAGCACGAGAAGAAGCATACGGGTGTAATCCCGATCAAGTTGAAGAACAGGCACACCAGCATCGCATCGGCAACACCGAGATAGAACAGCTTGTTGGCAAGGATGCCAATGGCGAATGAAGACACGACCATGTTGGCGGAAAGCCACTGCGAAGACGAAGTCAGTGCCTCATTCATTCAGTCTCGAGGCAGGCAGTCTCACCATAGTCGAGACATTCAACAACGCTCGAACCCCAGTATCCGTTCGCTCATCTTCCGGCACCCTCTCGATCCCTCGCTGCTCCATTTTCAGCCTTCCTGCTACGCGCTGCATTTTCGCATACAAGGTGTCGCCACATTCGAAGCTTTCGCCTGGAACCGCACCATCCTCGTACACGAAACTACTGTCTTGTCGCTTCTCCCGTGGACTGTCGGAGTCGCTGCCGGCATTCACCACGCCACCATGCTTCTCGACATCGTGTTGGTACGCCATTACGGGCGGCTTTGTACGTCCGGCTTTTCACGAAGAAGTTTCCTCCGCGCTGTTGTTGGCAGAGTTGTCGTACTGGGTCAGACCAAAGAACATGAAGAAATTCATGACGACTACAGTGCCAACGTGGCAACCCGGTACCTTCTTGCGGGACCGCGCCGGCGCACATGGCCGCGATCAACTGAACTGATAAGAAAGCCCCGGAAGCCTTACGTACCTGAAGCAAATGCGATCAAGAAGGGCCGCTGGCCGTCTTGCTGGGATGAGCGTTGCTTATCTGCCGCGAACGCGTCCAAGCCTTCTGGGCGACAGCTCAGCTTGGCCTGTAGAATTCCCGTCCACGTTCTCGGCTCGAGAATGGTGACAGAAGGCTGCGTGGAAGCGAAGGAATCAGACAGAGATAAGCGGTGCGGTGGTGGCCAATGGTGGAAGGGAATGCTGCGCAAAGGTTTTTGTGAAAGTCGGGGGTCTGCTTTTTTTTCTGCCCGGTCGCTTCGGCTGTCCACACACAGACCTTCTATTCCGATTACCGATCAATATATCATACTGCACAGCTGCGTGAACTGTAGCAGGGAGAATGGAAGGCATCGATTACAGTGAAGGAACATCATTGCCAAGTCGGAGCTGACCGCACCTCCTCTCCCTCCACCCACGCCACATTCATCCGGACCTGCCTTGGCGGCGACTTGCGATCAAGAACGTCAACTCGGAAGTCTCATGAATTCACATACTAACTCCTACCTAGCTGCAGTGAATCGGCATCGATTGCACAATCTACGACCTACTAATCGACCATCATCAAGATCCACGACCCAGTCGCAGAAATCCGAAAAAGGAAGTCTGCGGATCCGTGTCTAGATTCACACTCACTCTGAGGATCTAGATCTAATAACGTGCAGCAGGACGACAAGCAAGCCATGAAGGAAGTCCAAAAAAAAACAGCCAGAAGTCCAGTAGTCATCAGGCGAGGCAGAAAAGAAATACATACATCCAGTAGCGGAGATCCCCGACCTTTCTTTCACTCACTTACCCAAGTTAAAATACTTACCATTCTCCCCAAACCCCCATGTCTCTTCCTCCATACCCACCGACTATACACCACCTCCATCCCTACAATCCTGCAGTTCCCATTCCGAGGGGAGTAAACAGCGCCCAAAACCCTCCAGATTCATCTCACCCCCCACTTCCCAACTCACAAAAACAAGCAAGTAAAGATGAAAAAAAAACCCCCCAGTTCCCTCAAAATTTTGAAATATTACCATTCCATTCCATTCCATTTCATTGATATGACTGACGATAACGTAAAACCCTCAGACTCAGACACAGACCCCCAGATCCCCATTTCGCCTGCTCCACTAGAAAAAAAAAGGGTGTAGCGCAGCACAGCGCATATTCAAGTTCCCTTCGCGTAATATCCAAAGCCCACCACCAGAAAAAAAAAGGGAGAGAGAGAGTCCATTGCCATCCCATCCAATCTGTCACAGAGATGGGTATCTTTACTACGCATTCGATAATCTGCATCCTCCATTTCCCAGTTGAAAAAAAAGAGCAGATGTCCAACGCCAAACTACCTTATCCAAAGAACACAATAGAACAAAAAAAAAGACCAAACTCCCTTCCCAAACTTTCCCACCCCAAACTTTCCCACCAGATGGTTGCTTGGTTGTTGTATACGTATATATATAAACCCATCACGTTCCCTTTCCCTTTTCAAACCCCATTTCCATTTCCATTTCACCTCCGTTCCGTTTTCGCAAAAGTGACCCTAGACGGATACCGACACTATCGATAAGGATCGTAATCACTTCCACTGTCCACAGATCGAAGAGAAGCAGAATGGTTGTGCTGCACAACATTGCCATTCGCAGGCGAAGCTTGAGGAAGAGGAGGGAGTTGTTTTTGTTTTTGTTGTTGTGATGATGGTGAATCGTCATCGGGACTACCGTCACCCCATTTCCCGGCCCAACCGAACCAGCCTGTGTTGGGTTTCTTTTCTGTGGTTGAGGGATTGGAGCTGGGAGCGGGAGGTAATTGGGGGACGGGGATTTGGAGGGTGTTGCCGGTGGGGGATAAGCTGGCGTCGTAGAAGGAGTGGAGTTCGTCGGCGTCTTCCATATCGGCGAGCTCGTTTTTGGTGGAGGGTCGGATTTTGACGGCTTTGATGAGTTCGACTACAGCTGAGGTGAGATTGCTTGCAGCAGCGTCGAGCAGTGCCACGGGCGACAGTCCGTGCGATGCGGCATGTTGTTTCGTTGCGGTGATGAGGCTGTTTGCGGTTCCGGTGACTCGTGCTTGGATCTTGCCGACGCTGGGTGGCGCTGACCGCATGTTCATATCTGGGACAGAAGGCGAAGGGCCAGGCGATGGATACCCATCCGTTCGTACAGCCGCAGTGATGGATTGCACACTGACCACAACGGCCTTCACACTCTCGAGCATTGCATCTGTGCTGTTACCACGAGCGACCTTGAGCAGCTCGTCCACGGCAAGTTGGAATCTGGTGACTTCTGTATCGCGCACGAGACCGCCTTCGGAGATCAGGCCTTCTTGCCGCACAAGACTGCCGGTGTCCAGTCCAGTCGACAGCCCAAGACCCATGGTGGACGCTCGTAGGTGCTTGTTCTGCGCCTTGACTTTCGCATATCGCTGTCTCCACACATCATTCTCTTTCTCAAGCTTCGCAATCTTGGCAGCCATCTTCTCTTCTTGCTCAATGGCCTCGTCGTTCTGCCGACTGAGCTCGCGCATTTCGCGCAGGTTCTTCATGGCTTCTTCGCGGACTTGGGAGTTGATCTTCTCCTGCTGGGCAAGTTGCTCTTGTAGTTGCGCGATCTTGTCCTCACACGCATCTTTGCTGGAGTTTGCTTGTAGCTGCCGTCGCAAGTCTTCGATTTCTCTCTGCAATTGCTGAAGCTCAGCTTTATCTTGTGAAGCTTCTCGAAGCTGCTTCTCCAGCCGACCATTTTCATTATGCTTCTCAGCGAGCTGCTCTTGGGCATCATCCAGCTGTTCTCGCATATCGCGCATATTCTGCTCGTGTTGATCTCGGTCGGTGTCGGTATCTTGTACTTTCGACTTCAGCACCTCCAGCTCTCGCTGAAGTGTGGTATTGTGTGACTGCGCATCCACGTGCTTCTGCTCAAGCTCTTCTCGCTGCGCAGTCCATTGCTTGCGCTCGGCATCAAGCGTTACACTTCTCGCGGCCTCTTTGCTGGCTTCCGTTAGTTTGGCCTCCAGAGCCTCGATCCTTTCTTTCAGTTCCGTGATCTCAGCTTCCTGCGCATGCATCCTTTCCTTGGTTTCCGCACTGGTACTCCGGCTGTACCGCTGGCCGAGGCCTGAGCCAACATGATCAAGGCCGAAAGCATCCTCGTCATCCTCCATGTCATCATCCTCAACCATCGTACTTTTGTTCGGGACAATGGTGTTGCTCTGGAGATGCTTCGGAAGAGGCCGACCAAGAGACGCAGCTTCGCTTGGTCTTCGCGGGCCAGGAGGCATACCATTGGGACCAGGACCGTAGGGCGACATTGGTCCCCGCGGCGGGCCTCCTCTTCCAGGGCCAGGAGGATATGGGTACCCATTGGGTCCAGGAGGCGGTCGCATGCCACCTCGGCTAGGCGCTCGACTTCTGCTGCTAGCATTGCTTGCTGTGCTGTGGGGTCGCGCAATGTCAGCTCCCACGAATCGTGGTATTCGTCGTTCCAATTCATAAAAGACATCCGTCGCCAGTTGCCTGAATCGTTCGGTCGGAAGCGTACTGAGCTTCTGCCGCGCCTGATTGCGCTTCGGGTGGAAATTCTGCCTGGGTAGGAGGAATCGCGGGACGTTTGGTATCTGACCTGACCGGTCGTCCTCTCTTCTCATCAATTCGTCGTATACATCAGTGCTGAGTTCCATGAACTGCGTGACACTCAGCCGAAGCAGCTTGTCCCTCGCCCGGTTCGGCTTGAGATTTCCCTTCTCGTCCTGCAATGAGTCCGCCAAATATTCCCTCAGTGTCGCATAGTGTCTCGAGAGGGCATCATCGGCGTTGGGCGGTATTTGACTCCTGGAACTATCTCGATTCGGTGGTTTCGCAAAACCCATGCGTCCATCGCTCGACATGCCGATGGAGCTCGCGGAAGACGGCGGACGATTGCTGGAGCCACTGGCTGACGGTCGCGACATATCTGTAGAGCCGCTTGGATGTTGCGACGAAGGCGGTGACGTTTGCGGTGGCCGCGCAGCGCCATAAGGCCCGCCGCTGTATGGAGCGTCGTTCACCGTGCCTCCGAGCGGACCTCCGGGACTACCCACGCTGCCATTACCGCCATATCGGCCGACAAAGGAGGAATCGTTGCTGGTCATGGATAACGGCGACAATGGCGAAGCCGTGCCGACGGCTCGTGACATTCGAGGAGAAGGCGTGAGTGAGGCGCGCGGAAGGTTCTCTCGATCGATCGGTCGTGCTCATGCGCTGGGTGTGGCAGGCGTAACACTGGAGTGAGGTAGTAGTATGTCGCGACCTCGAAAGAGTATATTCCAAGTGTGGTCCCTTCGTTTCAGGAGGAATAATATGCCCAGCGACAACCTCCTCCGCTTCCGCCTGTCCCTTTCCACTCGAATCTGCCTTCTGGAATGTGGTGCAGCGTGGAGGTGTTTACGATGTGTCGCGAGCCAAGAAGTATTAGGCACTACCAGTAGAGACCGTATATCGACAATGGCATATCGTGGAGATGTAGCAAATACGAAAACCTAGAATACTAGTGCTGTGCCAGGCCAGGCAGAGAAAGAAGATGCAGCCTCGCAAGCCCGAAGCGCGGCCCAGGCGAAAGAGCGTGAGGCCCCAAGCCCCTTTGCTGATGTGCGGTTCAGAGTGAGTGGTTCAAGAACCGACTACCGAGCACCGACCATACCCTTTCCAATCCCTCTCCAACCACTCAGGGCTGCCCTTGTGAGATCTGCATGCAGGAACAGGAACGGCGCTTGCTATTATATAGCGCAGACTCGCCTCGGGGTGGTGAGTCCAACAAGCAAAATCTCACACTTCCCTTCCATTACCGCTGATGAACGCATATGATCGTGACAAAAGGGCTGAAGGAAATCCGGTCTCAAACGTCCGTTCCCATCGCTACGCATGCGGGCTAATTTGCCCTACCCGTGATGTAGGTGGCATCATTTTGGCTATTTCTGGGCGTCATGCACCCCTAGAGTTACCATTGCAATCTCCCATCGGACCAGGGCTGCCACCACTTTGCACAACGACGAAGTGAAGCCGCGATCCGACCGGCGACCGTTGAGGCGACGCGCGAGTCGACACAACACAATACGTATGCATGTGTTATCTGCCATCCATCCCGACTTCACCAAGACTACAGATCTTGCTATCCTGCTCCTTATTACGCAGATCAGCTGAAAGTAAGGTGATCCAGAGAATCCATGATCCTTTCCGAACGCCACACAGCAAGAGATGAAAGATTCGGCATAAAATAGCAAAATGCGAAATTGAGACTGACAGGGTTGTGCTTTTAACCAGCACGACTCCGATTTGTTCGCACTTAGCTCCGCGAAGGGTCTATGGTCTGAGACACTGCGAGATTCGTCGTCGACTCGGACTGCGTCCACAGGCCAAGGCGCTGGCCGTTGAGTCACTACAGGCAATTCAGTCTACGAAGAGGTATTGCGAGGGAAGCTATACTTCGCAGAGATCACGATACCGTGGGCAAGTGTCAGTTGATCTACAGAGACTCGAGCGAAGATCCGGGGAATAATTGAAGCTGTTTTGCAGGCAGCGTTGCTCGGACCATATTATTGCCCTTGGGTTGTCTCCGAAGAATGTCACTGCCAACAACAAATGCAACCGGATCTGACAGCAGACAGCATGTACAAAAATTCTGGAACGTCAACGTCCCGCCAAATGAGCATGCAGACGAATGTCCGGAATTCCTTCGATATGCCTTCAAAGATCTCAAAGACCAAGAAACTTTGCGCACTCCAGACGCTGCCTACCGGCGGCAGACGTGGGATGAAATTCAACGCTTCATTCGTGAGAATCGGCTGGAATTGTTTCAAAGGCTGCCGAGTGACTTGAGATTGTATCGAGAGTATTGCTCGAAGTTGATTCGCGAGTATGGGAGCATTATGGATTTCGTGCTGCAGGAGCGGCTTGAATGGGAGGAGCTCAGTCCTTCGGGACCACCGTTCTCGAATCCAGGTATGAGAAGGGTTGGAGACGTCGTCGACCGCCCGCATACTGACATCTGAATCCAGCCGACATCAAGATTTTGTACAACGACTGGCCATATGGGATTGATGAGCGAATTGTGCATCTTGTAGTATGGACCAAGTTTGAGCTGCTTTCGGATCCGGCTTCAGAGATTGGCGACATGGCTCCGGAAACGAGAAGGCTGATACAGGAGTTTGTGGATCGGACTTTTGGCAAGGACGACGTGGTGTGGTTTAGGAATTGGAGCAGCTTGAAAAGCGTTCATGCTGTTGAGCACTTTCATGTTATGCTCTTCAATCCTGATATGGACTTTGTTCGGGAGATGACGAACTACGACGTACCTCTGGCGCAGAAGCTCAGGCATGCGGTGCAGGATAGCTGAATTGACTCCTTGAGTCTCGGAATCAGCTCCGTATTCACTCCGATGCATGGTAGTAACTGAGGCGGCGGAGGTAGAGGGGCGTCGACTCGGAACCTGCACGGCCACAGGCTGGGAGTCCTTCTAGCAACATCCAACCGTGATACTCGCCTCCCGCACCAAGGTCGATGACATCAGGTAGGACTTCACAGAATCGCGATATTGATGAGAATGTTGGAATGATGTCGTGACCAGGTCGCAGCCTCGCACAGGCGCCTGTCGTAACGTAACTTGTGTGACATGAGGGCACATACTGTATACCATTCGGCAGTTCCCGCACCGTACGTAGCCAAAATATCGCGCAGCTTGAGCCACTTCTCGTACGACGTGTCGTATCGTGTCGTGTCCCTTCCCTGGCCATGCGCCACGCCACGCCACGCCACGCCACGCCACGCCACGCCACGCCATCCTACGCAATGTATGTAGAGGTTAGGATAGGTGTATTGTTCTCGCGGTGAGGTGAAGTGACATCCCATTGCTGAGACACCAATAGCATCGACACCATTTGTCAATAATATACGGACTTGTTCGTTGCTTCCTCGGCGCAACGCTAGAATAGCACTCAAGAACTTCTGCGCCTCATTTCTGTCGATCAGGCACATAATGTCACTGCCAAGGCACTCACCAGATTGACCAGGAGATGGCAAATTGACTGGGCAATTGGCAGGACTCCTGTCGAAGAGGCAAGGGCCATTTCTACTGATATGTGCCTGACTGTTCATTCCTGATCGTTACCTAGTCATGCCATTCTGTAGATATATGGCGCTAGAGATTCGGTTGCGGAGTGCAGGGAGATACGTAGACGAGACGCTGGGAGTCGTTTCAGGAGTCTGATTGGTGTGTTCCTAGCCAAAGGCGTTCGCAATTCTCGATTCTATTTTGCCGGGAGAAAAGTTGGCGGTCACCGCTTCGTACGATTGTGGCGCGGGAGCTAGAATACCACAACCTTCATCAAGCATTGGATGGGGCGATAGTGCGATATTCCGTGGCCGCTTGGGAAAAGGCTCTCTTTGTGATCTTCTTTCCTCAATTCATCTCTTGCTTGTTTCTTTGTCCTGCTGCAGCGAACAATCGCAAGGACTGCGAAGCTTTTGCGCCGCGGGAGTGACGTGCCGCGCGCGAACACCTGCAAATTTTTCTCGAATCAGCGCAAGCTTCTGCTGCATACCATAGCTCCCGGTTGGAGCCACAACGAACATCCCCCACCAGGGAGGAGCGATAGCGAGCTGCACGATCCTCGCGCCGAGCTTGTGAAAGAGCTGGGTGAAGGAGCGTGGAAGGCGTGAGTGGTCGGGGACTGGGGCAGTCAGACCAGAAAGGAAATAATGCTTGCAATCTGGCCGCAGCACACAATAGCAACCTAGGACAGGCAAGGCACGCCGCAGCCTCGCAGCCATACCCCCATACCTACGCGTAGTCCCATCGCTCGAGTAGCGTACGCTTCACCTCCGACTCGAATCGCCATTCCTGCCTCTCCCACACCCATTCAACATGTTGGAGATCGTGGAGAGCATCCTACCCACGAGGTGGCGCCGAAACCGCGACATCACAGATCCAAACAAGCCGGGTTCATATTCCAGCCTTCTCACGCCATATCTCGAGAGCGTGTCGCTGAAAGCATGTACGCATCCCATACGGACCATCACCTTGGTCGCCATCCTCGGAAGCGCATTCTACGTCAATCTGCTGGACCAAGGCTTCTTCCAGCCTTCACTTGCCTCGCTGAACAAGATCGATTTCGCGTCACTTTCGGAAGGTAGCAGGCGATTACATCTTGGTGAGGACACGGCATGGAAATGGCAACTTGAAGAGAATGGCCGCCCGAAGGTGCAGCGCCCGCGCGAAGATGAGCTTTCGCTGGTCACGCTGGAGTTTCTGGATGCTGGAAACAACTCGCCAAAAGCAGTTCCAATGGCTAAGAACATTGCGCTACCAGAGGGCAGCGCTGCTGAGATCGTGCCTTCGAGCGCAAACATTCTCTCCACCATCTCTTCCGACTCGCATCTCGCATTCTCCATGCCATATGCCGAGACCGCCAAATTTCTCGAGGCCGTCCAAGAAATTCCGGCACCGCCCGGCACAGTTCGCGAAGATGACGGATCAGACGACGAGGTCGAGCACAAGAAGTGGCTCATGAAAACCGCCAAGACTGCACCCAACTCGAATGGAATGGTCGAATGGGCACAAAACTCTTGGAGCGCATTCCTGGACTTGATCAAGAATGCCGAGACTCTTGATATCGTCATAATGTCTCTGGGCTATCTATCAATGTACCTGACGTTCATCTCGCTCTTCCTGAGCATGCGCCGCATGGGATCCAACTTTTGGCTTGGCACCACCACCCTCTTCAGCTCTGCCTTCGCCTTCCTCTTCGGCATTGTCGTGACCTTGAAGCTTGGCGTGCCGGAGAATGTCGTTCTCCTGTCAGAAGGCGTGCCATTCTTGGTCGTTACCGTTGGCTTTGAGAAGCCCATTATGCTGACTCAAGCTGTGCTATCTGCTTCCTACCAGGCCAAGAACGGCAACGGCAACGGCGAAGCCTTCACCATTCAGAAGGCAGTACAGCAGGCCATCCGAGAGCGTGGTTTCGAGATCATTCGCGACTACGCAATCGAAATTGCCATCCTTTCAGCAGGCGCCTTCTCTGGAATTCAAGGCGGCCTTCGACAATTCTGCTTCTTGGCAGCCTGGACACTTTTCTTCGACTGTATCCTGCTCTTCACTTTCTACACCGCAATCTTGACCATCAAGCTCGAGATCAACAGGATCAAGCGCCACGTAACCATCAAGAAGGCCTTGGAGGAAGAGGGCGTCAGCAGACGTGTCGCTGAGAATGTTGCCTCTAGCAATGACTGGCCTAATGGCGACATCGTCTCTCCCAGCACTGTGAACATCTTCGGCATGAAAGCTCGCGAAAGGAGCATTCCACGTTTCAAGGTGCTTATGGTTACTGGCTTCATCTTGATCAATGTCGCCAACCTCTGCAGCATGCCTTTCCGCGGCACCCGACACAATACGCCAGTCTCCACAGCTGGGCTGTCTTCTGTGGTTACACAGCCGCCGATGGACCCATTCAAGGTTGCTGGAAGTGGCCTCGCCTTCCTTTTCTCTCAGGCCGAGCGTAACAAGCAGCCACTGAGCGTGACGGTCTTCCAGCCGATCAAGTACGAGCTGCAATATCCGTCTGTGCACTATGCCACCCCAGAACCGCAAGATTGGACAATCATTGACGGCGAATACCAACGAGGTCTTTTTTCGGCGCTTGGCGGTAGAGTTGTCGAGAGCTTGCTGAAGAGCTTCGAGGATCCTGTGCTGAGCAAGTGGGTTATTATTCTGCTTGCTATAAGCTTGGCGCTGAATGGCTATCTCTTTAATGCCGCACGATGGACTATCAAGGAGCCAGCACAAGACTCCGCTCGGGCAGATGCACCAAAGGCGAACGGCCATGCCATCCCGCCAATTCCGACCGAGGAGCCAGAACCTCCAGCTGTTGACCAAGAAGCGCTTGATGGCACGAGATTGCGTACGAGGGAGGAATGTGAGGCTATCCTTGCCGCCAAGCAAGCGCCAATCTTGAATGATGAGGAGTTGATTGACCTGGCATTGCGCAACAAGATTCCTGGGTATGCACTCGAGAAGACTTTAGAGGACAAAACTCGCGCTGTAAAGATTCGCCGCGGCATGATCTCTCGCACGCCAGGTACTAAGGAGCTGACATCGAAACTGGAGAAGTCAAAGCTGCCTTATGAGCACTTTGATTACGACCGCGTTCACGGTGCCTGCTGTGAGAATGTCGTCGGATATCTGCCACTCCCTCTTGGTGTCGCTGGACCGATCACGATTGATGGCCGCAGCTACTTCTTGCCCATGGCTACGACTGAAGGTGTGCTTGTCGCTTCTACAAGTCGTGGTTGCAAGGCCATCAATGCTGGAGGTGGAGCTGTTACAGTCTTGACCGGTGATGGCATGACCCGTGGACCTTGCATCGGCTTCGAGACTCTTGCTCGCGCCGCTGCTGCAAAGGTGTGGCTTGACAGTGTTGAAGGACAAAAGGTGATGAAGGATGCTTTCAACTCTACTTCCCGATTTGCTCGCCTGCAACAACTCAAGTCCTCCATTGCTGGCACGTACGTCTACGTCCGATTCAAGACGACGACCGGTGACGCCATGGGCATGAACATGATCTCCAAAGGTGTTGAGCAGGCGCTGAACGTCATGTCTAAGGAGGCCGGGTTCAGCGACATGGCCATCATCTCCGTTTCTGGCAACTACTGCACCGACAAAAAGCCGGCTGCCATCAACTGGATCGATGGTCGTGGCAAGTCTGTCGTCGCCGAGGCTATCATCCCTGGCGACGTTGTCCGGACCGTCCTCAAATCCAATGTCGACGCACTTGTGGAGCTTAACGTCAGTAAGAACTTCATTGGTTCCGCCATGGCTGGATCCATAGGTGGTTTCAATGCTCATGCTTCCAATATCGTGACTGCGATATTCTTGGCAACTGGCCAGGACCCGGCGCAGAACGTGGAGAGCAGTAACTGCATTACTGTCATGAAGAAGTAAGTCGTGCTCGTCACTTGCGCAAACAACTATATACTGACTTGGCATTCAGCTTGCACGGAAACCTGCAGATCTCCGTATCAATGCCATCGATCGAGGTCGGCACTCTTGGCGGTGGCACCGTCCTAGAGCCACAAGCCGCTATGCTCGACATGCTCGGCGTTCGTGGCGCACATCCAACCACACCCGGAGCCAACGCACAACAACTCGCAAAGATCGTCGCAGCCGGTGTGCTCGCAGGAGAATTATCTCTCTGTTCCGCTCTCGCAGCCGGTCACCTTGTCCGAGCACACATGGCACATAACCGCTCCGCGCAACCCAGCAGAGCGCCGAGTCCAAGAAGAAGCCCTACTGCCCTCCGAATGACAAGCATTGCAGAGAATTCCGTGGCGACAGGCAAGAAGTAGACTTCCGAGTCTGGAGCCCAGAATAATCAGAAGCAAAGCGATATTTCCACCTCGCCAGCGCAGGAAGGTATACGTTCGAATGAAGTCGAGAGTCCGGTACTGCGAAGGTCGAATCGGAAGCGGAAGGTGGTGTTTCAGTGAGCAATGGCTCAGCGTAGCGGAGATGATGACGGGAAGGGAAGGGAAGGGAAGTGAAGCATTAGAGCAAGGCCAGAAGAGAGAAGAAACGGCTTGGTCGAAGAAGAAGAAGAAGAAGGAACAACGGTAGAGAACAGAACAGAACAGAAGACATTCATATTGTCCATCAGAGAGGGAAAGCATGGAATTTTGTATACTGTACATGGGCTTCTATATATAATCGAGAATCGCGAGGCGAAGCTCAAGCCCAAGCTTGCTCAGACTGCTCTGAGATTGTTGCGACATCACGTGAGCAGACAGATTCCAACCTGTTTTTTTTTTCTCTTTTCAGACCTTGATGAAAGCGAAAAAAAGTAGGCAGGAAGTTGTTAGCAAGAACTTTCCCAACAGAAAATTCGAAAAAAAAACGGAGATTGAGAGAGAGAGAGAAAAAAAAAACAAAGGCAGGTCCTCCTGTTAAGGCCTTGAATACCTCGCGTTGAATTATCGATAAGTGTTGAATTATCGATAAGACAGTAAATCTCGTGTTCTCGTCTTATTGTAGCGTGTCTTATACCAATTATGAGTATTCAAGCCCAATTATCGATTTCCGCCTTCTTAGCGCTGTGTTGTAACCTTATCTCTTGCCTTTGCCTTGCCTCTCTTGCTATAGTAGATAATACCGTATTTTCTATAGCGCTAAAGCAGTCGGCGCAGGCCTCGAAGGCCTCGAAGGCCTTCGGTCGATAGCGTGGTCGCTCCGTCTCGTTCAGCAATAAACGAAGTATCTAAAGTACTATATAGACCGATAGGCATAGTACGAGGTCCTCGAGGTCCGCTTCCGCCGCTTCTTCGAAGTCGTCCATTGTCGCTATTCTATCGTCACTACTATATACCCTACAAAACACCTACTTCTACGACAACTACGAGAAAGAGCGAGACATATTGTACTAAACCGGAAGGAGATGGATCCGTACGAGAATAGGCGCCTATTCTTCAGTAGTTCAATTATAAAAGTAAGGCTCTCTTGCTGAAGGGCTGCTTTTGAAATTGGCCTATCTAAAGAGGTAGATTATAGATAATTGGACTGTCTTATAGACAAGACCTATAATTGAATGGATTATAGGTATTCAACGCGTCTTATGGTGGACCCACTCGTCTTATAGATAAGACACCTCAATTATGGATAATTGAGCGCGAGGTATTCAAGGCCTAACGGTTACGGTTACACGGTCACACGGTTACTACGATCTCCCCATATCTTTTCTTTTCCCCAATAATTTTTTTTCGAATTCTTTTTCGCCATGCAATGCAACCATACCATACATACACATCCATTCCATCCCATCCCATCCCCATCCATGCAAGGCGAATAAACGCCCCAGATTTTTTTTTCACACAGCAAAGTAAACCCAACCTCCCCACCGCATCGTGTGAGTAGACACCAGAACACCTCGCTCAAAAGCCGACGCAAATGCCAGCAGCGGACGACAGATAGTAAAAAAAAATCAAGCATGTCATTGAGAAGGTTCCGCAGCACTGTTATAGTGTATAAGCGGCCAAGGCTGAGCGGTGTTGGCATCAGCCGTGGGGAGGGGGAGGTTGCCCATATTCATCGCGGTCATGTCGGCTGAGGAATCGGGTTTTGTGGCGGTGGTGAGGGACATGAGGGCTCCGGTGGGGAGATTGTAGTCGTTGGCAACGGTTGTCATCATGGAGTCTGCGAAGTTGCGCCAGGCGGCGGGGCCGGGTTGCGGGTAGGCTTGCGCTGTTTGGGGGGATTGCTGGAAGGTGTTGTTGGAGACTTGTGGATTTGGGGATTGGAAGGCGGCCATGAAGTTTGTGGGAGCGGGAGGCTGGGGTTGTTGCTGAGACATGCTTGCGACTAACTCGGCTTCGATGTTGGGTTTGGACTCTTCGCTGGAGTAGGCGGAGCTGTCGAAGGTGTTGTAAATGCCGTTGCCGTTTTGGGCTGGAGGTTGAGTGTGTGCATAGGCGAAGGATTGCGGAGGGTAGTTATTTTGAGATTGATCCGCGCCATACGCCTGGTTCTGGTTCACATCGCCGCTTTGCTGCGCAGTGTACTCCGTGCTGTAGCCATTTGTGGCATTGAACAATTGTTGTGCCTGCTGATGATCCGAGGTTGTAGGTGAAGACGCTGAGGCTACAGCAGCGGATGCCGTCTTAGCCGCCAGGTGTCGCTGGATGTTTCCCAACGAGGATTCAACGATTCCGCGGATTGCAACGACCAGCTGCGGTGTGGCGCCTAGAGAGCATGTCAGTAATGCGAAAGTACTGCGTAGAGTCTCGCACGCACCTAAGAGATTAGCGACCTCAGCCATGACATCGATCCACGAATCCATGTCTTGCCTCAATCTCTGCAAGTCCTGCGAGGTCATTTGGTCCCTCCTTTCCGTATATGCGAATAGCGTTGTGAAAATGGCGGCCAAGAAGTCCGTCGAGTAGTACCACGTCGTGTCGAGGCTCTTCAATGTCTTCAGCTGTGTCGCAGATTCGAGTAGCTTCCCACTCCAGTGGAGGCATGTGTCGAGGTTCTGATTCATCAGTTGAGGCGACGCCGTCCTGCACAGTGAGGGATGGTGGAGAAGCAGTTGGCACTCGGCAACGGAAATGTCCAGGTACAGGGCTGAAATCCTGTCCTCTTCCTGGCTTTGCGGTCCTCCTCGAAGTTCAACCGGCACTTGCTGGTGAAAGTTCTCCAGATCCTTCTCCAGCTGGCGAATGTTCATCTCATACTGACCAGTCGATCTGATCGAGTAGATGGTTGAGTAAACCTGCATCATGATGTTGAGGAGCTTGAAACCTTCAATGCCAGCCCTGAATGAGCAGTTCTTCCACTTTCCAGTGGGCTCACCGGGAAGGTTGTCCGGCTTGGCTTCGGGCATTTCAATGTCGAAGTCGTCCATGCGCAGTGGCATGGGACGACCCAGCTTACCGCTGATGTGAACGTGGAACAACAGTATGCTCCAGAATATTCGCTTCCGCATCTCCAAGTGATGAGGGTCCTGCTCCAGGGCCGAGTTCTGCCAAGCTTTCGCAGATCTGTGCAGGCCTGACTCAATCGCGAGGCCCATGACCAGATTTGTGAACATCCATGCCGCTCCTGGTCGCGGTTGATTGCGCAGTTGCGAGCAGATCAACGCCAGCGCTTGGATGTCTTCTAGTGTGTGGCCTGTGATGAGGTCCGGGATTAAGCTGCAGGCGTAGTGGTAGTGATTCATGCTGTCTTCTCGCGCTTGCTCGTTGGCGTTTCGTGATGAGAACTGGAAGTTGATGACTGCTAGGACCATGTGCACCATCACGGCTTCTGCCGGCTTGGGCTGGTAGTTCTGGTGGTGGATCTTGTCGAGCAAGTTCATGAAGTCTGGCTTGTGCAGAAGCGGTATGAACTGCTGTATGGAGCGAAAGTACCAGTCTGCATACACTTTGCACTGTTCGTAGGCAGGAAGGTCGGGCGTCTGAGGATACTCTGCTCTGAAGGCGTGGCTGAGGAATGTCCGATACGACATTGCGCTCGCGGTGGGGTCTGAGTCGTTGGGCATGAACTCGGCAAGGTCGATCTTGGTGCCGAATAGAGCCAGAGAAGTGCCTTCGATCGGGCTGAGCCAGTTGTTCTCCGAAGAGACTCCCAGATAGTTGTCGCCAATGCAGCCCGCGCGGAAGTCGGGCAAGAGAGAACTTTGCGGGCTCGAGCGATCGCGGCCTTGCACGCTCGATGCTGCGCTGCTGCTGCCAGCGTATATGTTGCCCCAACTCTGGCCCTGTTGCCACGATGCTGCCTGACCTCCGCCGGCCATGTACGCTGGAGCTGGCGGTGGTGGTTTTGGCTCCAGTCCATTTTCTCGCAGCTGCTGCTGGAGCTCCACCATGTACATTTTCAGTTGCGCATTCTCATTCTCGATCTGTTCGGTATGGCCGCGCGACGTCGCGCGTCCTGTTATTCGATCGGTGGTTTTGCATTCGGTGTTGTTTTGCAGGCACGGTGAACAGCCTCCCGGCCGCGCATCGCAGCGAATCTTTCGAATCTGCCATCACGATCGATCAGCACCAGTGCTCACTTCCGCTTCACGTTTCGTTCGCACGTGAAGGCATCAGATGCGGGAAGTCCTACCTTGCATCGATCGCAAGCCTGGCCTGTTCGCGTCGAGCCTGCGATCTTCTTCTTGACGCTGCCGGAAAAGTCGCCATTGCCCTGCGCATGGCCGTTGCCGTCCGTCCGCGCGATCTTGGCCTGCGGTGTGTTGATGCCGCTGTCGTTGTCGGCCGAGCCATCGTCACCGTCGCCGTCGCCGTCGCCCAGCCGCTTCATGGACGAAGGCATGTCCCCTCCGCGTGCCGATGAGCTGTGGTGGAAGTTGCCGTCGAGGCGCTTGCACGCACATCAACTGCGGGAGACACCGCTGCCGTGGCGTGGCCTGGTGCAGCGGGCGGAGTTGGGTTGTCGCAGGCACAGGTACAGCATATAAGAAACAGCAACAACGACACGAACCCCGGGTCCCGCCAATGTCCCCCTCAGCGATCGCGCTGCTCCATCGGCGCTGCAGCGTCCTGCGCGGCCGTCAAGTGCGCGTCGACTTCGCAGCAGCGTACTTGAGGCCCCCCCCCGGTCCGGTCCAGAGTTCTCGCCACTTTAACCTTCGGGGCCCCGTGCGCTGAGCTAACCTACTTCATACGCAAAGCCCAATCACTACTGCGAAAAAGCACCACTCTTCCTGGCCTCACCACCACACCACCACCCTCCATACCACACCCAGTCACGCTACCACCGCCGCTTGCAGACATCGCCCGCCTTGGTGAGGCTGGCCATCCTCATCCAGACGTCCAGGCCGCCAGCATGGAGACGGCGTCGCTCCCACACCTCCCACACCACCCTCTCCACATCTGCCTCTTTGCCGATGTGCAGAATGCCTCGTTTCTGCGCGAACAGCTTCTTGCAGGCAATCCGGACTATGAGTATGCATTTCTCGATGCCGCCGTCCTGCGGTCACGCGGCATTGTGCTCTCGGCTTGCTTTAGGGCAATCAACGATCTGATCGCCGGCCGCCTCAAGACCAAGAATGTGCATTCGGAAATTGTATTTGCCATGAATCCCAACAACAATGTAAGTACGAGTCGTATCTTGGCTTCAATTTTCGCATCACGTCGTCTCACTACATATTCCTACTTTTCCTTACTTGTCATACTCACCCACACGCAGATCGCCGAGTCATTCCGCCGCTATGGTATTCAAGACGAGAGCAAAAACATCGTTGCGATCAAAGTTGGCGGCGACAGGAGTACCGTTGAGCGACATCTACTGGCCAACGTCAAAGCGTCGCCGACTAGCCTCACAGATGACGCCTTAGCATCCATGCATGACCAGGCCAGGATGAGGAAAATCTACCGCCTCGAAGCTCCAAAGAAAGGCGGAGAGGCGGCTCAGCGTGGGAAGGAGGCCGAAGCTTTCATTATCGCTGGTATCGCATTAAAGGGTTCCTGAGTCTTGTTTTTCCTGTATGTCCTACTCCACCTCCCCCTTCGGACGCACGCCATGCACTACACTGCATTCACCAAGAACGGCGCCATTTGCAATGTGCCGCCAATAGCCTCCGCTGCAGTAACGCTCACATTCACGTCTTGCTGGACGCTACCACCGCTGATTCCAACTGCGCCTATGAAGTATCCCTCGTAGTCGTAAATTGGCTGACCGCCACCGAAAACGACTAACCCATCATTAGTCTCCTGGATCGCATACAAGTCGTTCATTGGGCCAGGCTGTGATCGCTTATAGAAGCCGTATGAAGGGAAGAGGCCGTTGAAGAGTGCAACTGTCTTGGCTTTCTTGATGCTGATGACCACACTTGCGAGGTATGCATTATTGTCCATGCGCAGGAAAGCTACGAGCTGAGCGGACGGATCAACCACGGCGATGTCGTTCGGAACACTGGAAATGTCAGTCTAAAGTCTAAGTTGCGCAACAGTCTGCTCGCTCCCATCTGACCCAATTGCATTTGACTGGTCAATAGCAGCCTTGACGACCTCTTGAGCCTGCGAAGCACTGATACAATGTCTCTGAGCCGGAGTCGAACCCCCATCCGTTCGTCTGCGTCCGATTCACCGTCTGTGCAATCGCAGCAACAGCCAAAGATAGCAATCGCAGCACCTTCATCTTGCCAAAGTCCACCCGAAGCAATTCCAGACTTCCACACCAAACTCCGGCAGCAAATCACAGAGACAGCACACCACAACTGAGCACCGCACCACGCGACCTTCCAACACCTTTCCCTGCAAACCATATATACATCTTCGTCTCCGCGAGATTGAACCGACCATTACCGAAATATCCGCAGCATAGCCATAGCGCAGTGCGTCAATAGCTCGTAAGCGATGTTGTTGGATCCAGCATTACTTGCATGCTCACTAATAAGACCTGAACCAGTAGTGAGTTATCGGTTATCCCAGAGCTCTCCTCTCCCGTGCCTGGAACCTTGTCGGGTGGCGCAAGTAGACTTTGCGGAGTGCATGATAAAAGAAACGAAAGGAAGAACGCGGGCGTGGTGACGGGAAGGATTTCGCCAAGAGATACGTACGTTCAGGCAGATTCCAGATCTCTCTTCTCATCATCTCCTCGTTTCGCAGATGCTGTTCGAACAACCCCGCCACCATGCCTCGAATCCATTCCCAAACCATCCCTTCCCCCCCCCCCCCCCCCACCCTATACGTATACCAAAGGCTTCAACATCCCCTCCCCAGAGGTAATATTCGTAGTATTCATCGAATTCGTCGTAGTATTCGCACTCCACCCCTCTGTCCTACCATTTTTATAAACTATTTCCACAAGCCATAGTTAGTGTTAAAATCCATCCATCCATACATCCGCAAAAAAAAAGAAAATTCTTTTTGTTGTATGCGTATGTGTAGAGTGTCGTTACTCACAAATCCATCCAATTATACTCAAAAACAAAACCACCACGCTAAACCAGACTACGTAGATCCATTTTTCGTCGTAGAGCCAGAAGAGGAGGCGGGTGGAGGTTGTGGTGAGGGAGTGGAGGGTGCGTTTGAAAGGAGAGGGGGAAGGAAAGGGATGAGAGGAGGGGGAGGTGAGATGGAGAGGGTGGTTTGAGGAGAGAGGGAAGGGGAGACGGTGAGGTGGCATGGAGGTTGAGATGGGATGGTGGGGGAAAGAAAAAGGGAAGGAGGATTGGAGATGTGAGATGTGAGATTTCGGAACAGATATATTTTGGTTTGATGCAAGGGATGGGAGGGGGAGATATGTGGCATTATTTTAGTCCATCGAATGCGGAGCGAACGGACAGAGACGGTGCACTGAGAAGGAGTCGGTATACTGAATCTTGTCATCACTTCAGCTACATGTAAAGACTTACGCGAATAGGTGGACTCATTCATATGCGTCCCGCTGTTTCAGACAACGACGGCAAGATGCATGAAAGCAGTATTCAGGATCCCGAGCATTCGTGACACGGTATCAGAACATTCGGCTCACAAACCGTAGTTGCAGGAAAGACTTTCTGCGCATGGAGAAGTTTTAGTGATTGGTCTTCGTTTCTACGAATATTTGCTCGATTCTTACTCCCGCAATTCTTAGTATCGCCATTTCCAGAGTATAAATTTTGACAGGTACTCGGAGGATCTGGGGAGAGATTCGGTGTCGTCGCCGAGTAAGACGCCTCGTCGGAGGGAGCAGGTGGTGTTGGTGTCGTTTTCGAGGCTTTGAGACAATCGTAGGAGGTCTTTATTGCTGCTGTGTATGTTCAGCTCGTGAGAAAACTTGAGCAGGTGGTGGTGGTGGTGTTGTCGTTGTTGAAGCTTTGAGACAAGCGCAGAGGGTGTGTAGTGCTGTGTATGTTAAGCTCGTGAGAGAAGTCGGTCTGCTGGCTTTAGCGAAATTGCTCTGGGATGGGAGAGCGTTGCAGAATGTAATTACTTTGCCTTCTTTGCTAAGTAGTGATGCCAGAGTCTTGTAGGATCCTATGCTCATACGAACCAGCCGGTCTTGTGCGCAGAAGATCTGTCTCGGAGGTCTCCTACCTTTTGAGCAGCCTGTGCTTTTGGGTCTGCCGCAGATGCCAGCCCGATCAGGAGGTAGACGCTGAACAAGAGGCGTGCCATGGCTGCAGGGTAGCCAAGAGGGTGAAAGATAAGACGGGAGTGTGCCCTGGGAGGGTAGCATCAAGCATACTTACACACAGCGGTCCGAGACAGATACAATGTTGTCCAATTGCCTATTCATTTGCGTGGCGATCCAGTGACTTTCATGAAGTTTCTGCACGCGTCGAGCAGAACATACTAGCGGATGCCGTCTGACACCATGGAAAGTCTGTTGTTCGATGATCGAGCGTTGATGTCCCCAGAGTCTGACAGCCTCTCGGGTGCGACGTGGTAAGCAGGAAACCATAGAGATACCCGGAAAAGGTCCGCAGTCTGATGAATCTGACCCATCTGCCAAGCGCAGTCGTGACTCGTAAGCAGCCTTATGCTTTCCTTCATGCTGTGACATTGAATCATTAAGCCCTAGAGTCCCAGGAATCTGACAGCTTCTCGCGTGCAACGTCGTAAAGCAGGAGAACAGCGATGTCCACAAAAGGTCCGGAGTCTGACGAATCTGACCCTCCTGCCAAGCGCAGTCGTGACTCGTAAGCAGCTTTATATGCTTTCGCTGTGACTTTCTGTCACTTTCACGTTTTCGACTGCCGAGATGTCTAAATCTTGCAAGGCGTTGTCTAAATCTGACTCGCGTTTGATGAAGGGTAGTCGTAAGCAGCCTTGATGTTAAGTTTCCTTGATGCTTTCAGTTGAAGTTTCCGACTGCCGGGATGTCTGAGTCTTGCAATCCCTAGTCTGAATCTGACTCTCCTGCCGAGCGCAGTCGTAACTCGTGAGCAGCCTCAATGCTTCCCTTCATGCTGTGAGTTGAAGTTTTCGACTGCCGAGAGGTCTGGATTTTGCATGGCGTACATGTAGTCTGATGAACCTGACTCGCGTTTGATGAAGCGCAGTCGTAAGCAACCTTGATGCTCTCCTTCTCATGCTGTGACGTTGAAGTTTTCGACTGCCGAGATGTCTGGATGTTACATGGCGTCCGGGTTCATGCCATCCGTTACCCGCAATGAGGCAGCAACGCGGGTGTGTGCCATAGCGATATATCTGATTCGCCAGCCATCTAATTTTTCGGTGTAGAAGTACCGAGTCATCGGGGTCCATACGGACGGGACAACTCAGTAGTAACAGCTGCGCGGTACGCCGGATAGCTTCGTACTCCTACACGTACAATCCGTAGTATCCGGCATTGCTTACTCGTTGTTGTGGACATGCTTGAATAGTTCTAGGAAAGCAAAGTACTGTCGGCGAGGAGGGAAGGTGCTTTGGGCTACGATTTTATTGATGCTGCAAGTTTTGCTAGCCTGTACTGCCCGTTAAGGCAGAGATCTGGTCAAAAGGGCTAAGAAGTAGATGAGAAAGACTTCGGTACCTCTACGGTCTGAATCGGGAAATTCGAGGCTTCGTTGTAGATCCTAGCTAGGGGAAGCGAGACAAGGCTACTTACTTCTCAGCTTCGGTAGTCGAGATAAGGACGAAGGGAGCCCGAATGTCTGGAAAGGGACGGGCTTGGCAACCACAATGTCCGACAGGAAAGAGCGTACCCGGGCAGCCTATGCGTTACTCCCGTAAGGACCGCTATACACAACCGATGTTTAGGCATATAGAGAGCTACTATTAGAAATAGAGAAAACAATATATATTTATAAAATATTTATAAGATCCTTATAAAAAACACACTATCCTAATATACTAATAGAACTGCTTATATTACTACTAGCAAAACTAGATCTATAATCAAATAGTATACCTAGATAGGAATAAGCTAGAAAGCTCTATACTACTAAAATTTCTATAGCCTACTAGGCTATATAGGGTACTACCTATATTTTAGTAAACTATAAACATATAAGAAATACTATATATAGCTAGTATAAATAATTTTAATAAAAGAAATAATTCTTCTATATATATACAATTTCTAGCATTATAAGTTTATAATAGTATTAGTACTAAAACTACCTATAAAACTATACTATAGAAATCTTTAAACTATTCTATCTATATAGAAGTAGTAGAATAGTTAATATAACCGCTACTTACTAGTAACTTTAATTTAATTTTAATTTAATTATTATTATTTTATTTTTACTAAGCTATTAAATACCCTAACCTAAGAAACGTTATAAAAATTAAGAAAAAATAATAGTAAACTTCTTAAACGTTTTCCCTAAGTTTCTATTATAAGTAAAAAAAATTTACTAAAAAAGGGATTTTTTTTTAAAAAAAAAAAACTTATAGTACTCTACTACTACTACTATATACCCTATTCTATACTATAGGTCCTAATATCTTCCTAAAAAAGCTAAGAACCGGCGAATATATTTCCCTATAGTATCTTACTATATCGGAGTAAAGATAACTAGGGTCGGACTACTAAATAATAAGTTACTATTCGCTATAATCTATAAGGAGTAAGGGTCTAGGGAATGCCTACTTTTACTCCGATATAGTTAGACGCTATAGATTGCCGCTCGCCTCTTCCTTCCTTCCTTCCTTCGCTCCGAGTCGATAGATCTAGCGTTTGCCGCGCTTGTTCTGCGGGTAATCCTTCTAGTTTGGCTGCGGGCGCTGCGACCGCTGTACCTGCTTACCTACCCTATTGGTTCACGATGTCTAAGCTTAAAACTTTATGCAGTTGGCGTCTACGCTCTCGCTTGTAACGCATTATTACATGCATGTAGCCTAGTAGTAGCCTCGTATTTATTCGTTTCTTCTTTGTCTTATTGTGCGGATGTGGAAGGCATAGAATCTCATGTACAGGTAGTCTGCCTGTGTTCACTTGATTATAGTCTCTACACGCGAGAATGTGGAGTGTATAGTCTAAAGGCAGAATGATCTCACCCGTGCATAGTAATGCTTTACTACAGTCATACTAGCAGGGCACAGCTGTCAACGCCCTTATACGGCATCTGAGTATACGTGAATTTGGGTTCGCAGCGTCTGTCGATAAGGAGCGGAGAATTTCCGGCCGGTATGGTGTAACTCCGTAGGTTCCGCTAACATCAGCCCATCCGTGGTATATATAAGGTATACTCTGTCTGTCCTGTCCGAAGGTCTACTTTGTGCAGCAAAAGAAAAACAACTTTTAGTCAGCCGCAATACCAGAAAGATGATGCTTACAAACCTCTTCATCGTAGCCATAGCCACATTGGCTCTAGCCAAACCTTTCGAATCGGTAGGTGTCTATTGCTTTATCTCTGCCGTGACCACCCGCTGACAGGAAACTAGGATTCCGAGGCCGCTAAAAAAGGTGCCTCAATCCTCGGGGCGGTCCTCATGCCACGTTATGCTTGCAATAGCGCGTGTACGGATTCATCACAGTGCACAGGGACTTGCATTGGTTGCTACGCAAATACATATGGCAAGAATGTTTGTCAACACTAGCGCGTAATTTGCACAGCATCAATGGAGCTATGCAACCTAAATGGATGCGGTAAGCTCGATTAGCAGTCATTGCTTGGTTAGGGTAGTGTGTTAACAGACTTTTTCAGAGACCAATTGATCGTACGCGAGACCTTATCATCTTCGCAGAAGCGCAGACGCCGCCGTCTTATACGAGAATCAGAGGCGTTGGTGCTGTGACAGCCATAAATGCGGAGACTCGGGAGGAAGGTGGAAAGCCGAATGTGGATGTCCTTCTTGTACTTGGGCTTTTGTGTACCGTAATTCCTATACAGTAATCAGTAGCCGTCTGCGAATCCTGGGCAAATCCGTTTCCACTCTGCTCACACCGCGTAGTCTCGGGAGTATTCACCCCGTCTATGTCCATCACTGACTGCAGTACAGGGCGTTACGGTTGGTCCACAGACATGCTCGGGCTTGAAGAGACACCCGGGCAGTGCGAATGCAGCAGGTCAAGGGATTGGAGGACCATACGACGCCACGCTTGCTGGTAACTTTTTGCCGAGAGGCACTTCGTCTGATACAATCGGCGAAGGAAGCCGCCTCTTCAAGCTGGCAAACAGCAAATGCCCAGACACAATCGTGGTCACTGGTGGCTATTCGTACGTTGTCCTCGGATGTGTATGTGGAGATGTAGTACTGACTCTTCCCAGACAAGGCACAGCCCTCATCGCGGCTTCTCTGAGCGATCTCAGCCAGCAAGCTCCTGCTGCAGCGGACCAAGTCGCGGGCGCGGTCTTGTACGGATACACGCGCAAGGCACAGAATGATGGCCGTATTCCGAACTACCCGGCCGAGAGAACGAAGGTCTTCTGCGCCGTGGGCGATGGTGTGTGCGAGGGAACGCTCATCGTGGATGTGGCTCACTTCTCGTATGCATTTGATGTTGACGAAGCCGTGCACTTCCTGGCGCAGAGGGTCGACGCCGCCGATGTGTCGTGAGGCTCGGGGAGAGATATGTAGTCGTTCATGGGAGTCAAGTCAAATGGTGACTTTTTCTTCTCATGTCCGCCTTTCAAGCTTGCTATGAGCTGTCGTGCGAGCAGCATATCTGCGTGTCGTGAACACAAAGGGTAGTAGGTAGTGCCAGGAAGCTTCAGCCTTGAATCGCTGAGTCAGCCACTTTGCAGGGCTCGTCGACGACACACACTCTTACTCCCATCCCATACCATCTCGCTATCATGCACTATACACTGTCGGGCTGTGGAGTATTTGAGTCTTGTACACTCGTCTGCCTCGCCAACAGAAGCCTGGACTCGTACACGTACACGATGCTGTAGCTCCTGGACTCATCTCGTGTGCCGACGAAGCGTTCTGCTTGGTCATTGGGCTGACATACTGCTGACAGGCACAGCAACTCAACTCCAGGCAGTGGCATCGCCAGCGGCATACCCATAAATCGTGACATGTCCACGTTGTTGCCATGCTCCGGTTCCAGCCGCGTGGTAGTCATGGCCAAGACAGCCAAGAGGTCGCCGAGAGTGCCTTCCGAGGCGCGAGCACGTCGATCTGTCTGGAGAACGTGTATGAAACATGCGCTTTCTCACTTCACCTTGCTGGTCATCCCTACCAGCGCCTCCATCTCCAAGACCTTGGAAGATCTGCACGAGTCGTGACTTTCAGCCTTGTTGAAGTCAAGTCCCTGAAAGGCTGGATTGTGGACACGTTCGCTTGCCAAGGCACGCACCATCCAGCATTGGACCTACCCTAATGCCACAGTTCCAAGCAACGAGAGGATCCGCCGACTCTGAGTGGATCTGGACAACCGCAATTCGACAGTCGACATGGGCACCTGCGGCACTGGTACAAGGAATGAGAACTACAACTTACCTCTCCATGTCGGAGCCCTGTTCATCATTCTTGGGGTATCGGCCGGAGCATGTGCATTGCCTCTCATCGCCTTGAAAGTTCCTCAGCTGCACATCCCGCCAAAAGCGCTGTTTCTGTTCCGGCACTTCGGAACTGGCGTCTTGATTGCGACGGCCTTTGTCCATCTCTTCCCGACTGCATTTGTATCATTGACGGCTGCATGCCTGCCGCCGTTTTTCAATGAACAGTATCCGGCCTTCGCAGGAGCCATCTCACTTGCGGCCGTCTTCATTATCACCATCGCCGAGATGGTCTTCTCTCCAGGACGTTCGCTCTGCTCAGGACCTGAGACACCGGATTTGCAAGGTGTTGACTCCAAGGATCTTCCGATGGAGAGACCAAGGCAGGCATCCAGGGCTGACTCTATCGCGGAAGAAGAGATAACCCCAGCGCGGGCCACCCCTCAATTCGGTCGAACTCGCTCTGGAAGATCTCACAGCGTCATGAAGACAGCGCCTGGAAACTTGACGGGAACATCACCAGATGGGCATCTCGAGGGGGACGGCTTCCCCCATCACACCGCTAGCATTGCTGAATGCCGCATCAGCGAAGAAAGCTTGGGTATTGCGGCAGAGAAAGAAGCGGAGCAGCAGCGTAAGAAGCTCACTATGCAGTGCATGCTGCTCGAGTGTGGTATTCTCTTCCACAGCGTGTTCATCGGAATGGCGTTGGCTGTAGCTGTGGGAAGTGAGCAAGTCATCCTATTGATAGCGATTGCTTTCCACCAGACATTCGAAGGACTTGCTCTCGGCTCACGGATAGCGGCGGTGGGATGGGAACCGAGGGCGCTGCAGCCTTGGTTGATGGCTCTGGCATATGGCTGTACCACTCCGCTTGGCCAGGCCATAGGTATTGCGACCCGCAATCTCTACAGTCCGGACTCCGAGACAGGCTTGATTGTGGTGGGAACGATGAATGCTATTTCCGCTGGACTGCTCACCTATACGAGCCTGGTGGATCTGCTGTCAGAGGATTTCTTAAGCGATCATAGCTGGAAGACCATGAGAGGGAACAAGAGGATTATAGCGATGTCTTTGGTCCTTTTTGGCGCTTTCTGCATGAGTTTGATCGGAGCGTGGGCATAATTGCATATTTACACAATAGCTACCAGATAACCAGATACCACAGTGACATCCTCCAGAGCTTGGGGAACCATGATCCATCAGTGAAGAAACCAATTCTCTGGAAAGTGACAGGATTAGGATTTGGAAGGAGGATTTCGTGGTCAAATTTGTCGAAGATGAGGTCCACGATGAACGATGAACGACGGTTGCTGCGAACGATTACATGGATCTCCAACTGTCAAGATTATTCCAGATCCTGTCTAGATCTATTCCGAGACGTCTGAGTGATCTGTACAATGATGTCGTCGTCATGTGAAAGACAACCTAACCCCGCAGTAGTGGCGATCGACCTTGCAGCTTGCAGCGAAATCCACTGCCAAGACGAACATTTCGTAGCGTAGAATGTAGCGAGTCCAATGATCGATCGTCAGTCAGAGGAGACTCCACTTAGACAGATGGAGGCTCGTGCTAGCTCCGCAGAGTGCAGCCAAGTGCACCGCCAAGACGAACATTTCGTAGCGTAAGCTGTAGCGAGTCCAATGATCGATCGTGCTCGTCACTCTCGCCTCTCTCGCCTTAGGCTCGTTCGCTGAGCAAAAGAAAGATACTACCTGTTTTAGGGGCAGTGCCTCACTTCCAACGCTTGGAAGCTCGCCTCGCTTGTCTAAAGCCAAGTCAAATTCCTAGGAATATTGGGGCTCGGGCGGGCAGCTGGGGCTCGGTTTAGTCTCGAGGCTCCTTCGACTAGATTAAAGATCACCCTATAGGCACATTATGCAGACTCGTAGACGGAGCTCTATATATACTAGAGGCTCAATGGCTTCACTTAAGCCTATTGTCGCTTCCTATTCTTCCTATACCTTCCTTACTAACCTTACTATACCTATTGTCGCGATAAACCTTACTTAGACTCGCTATACTTCCGCGCCTTGCCTCGCAATATTCTTCTTCTATCGACACCGATACCGATACCGACAGCGATAGCGATAGTAGTAGCCGCTATAACTAGTATTCCGCGCGACCTTATTCTTAGCGCAGCTTTAGTAGCTTTAGCTTTAGTAGCGTAGTTACTAGTAGCGTAGTTACTAGTAGCGTACTTACTAGTAGAAGGAGGAGAATATTTATCGTAAGTCGCGAGGCGTATCGCTATAGACTCGCTACTAACTCGCTTTAGACTTCGACGCCCTACGACTATAAATACTTACGATTTCTAGTATTATAGCGCGCAGATATAGTAAGAGCTACTCGATTAAATAGCGATACCGGATAAGAAGAAGGCGGTATTAAACAGACTACGGAAATATAAGGCTACTAGACTTATTATAGAAACGGACTCTAGTAAGCTTATACTAGCGCTATACTACTACTATATACGCTCTAATAACTTTAAGTGTCGTATACTTAATGCTAAGGGCGAGCGAGTCTACGCTTATTATAAGTATAAGGGCAAGTCTAGCTATATAGCTAGTATAGAGGTTAAAGAAGACGATAGAAATAGCGAGCTAGCCGCGATATAGGCGCGAGTCGAGGCTATAGAGGCAAAGAATATTGTACTAGAGGCAAAGATTAAGGTACTAGAAGCTAGGTTCGACAAGTTAGAAGGATACTGCCTCTCGTAGTTTAAATAGCTTAAGAATAAGGCTATTATTAAGTCTCGCGATATATATACTATTTAAAAGGAGCTGTAGCTAAATACAACTCGCGAGCCGCTAGTAGAAGATGTTTAAGTTAGAGGTTTTAGAGATAGTAAAAGAAGTGCAAGTCTACTACGAGTCTACTACGAGTCTACTATTCTATCTCTTCTTCTTTGCTCGTTAACTGCGCTTTGTGTTCTTAGCCTGTCCGCCGCTATTAGCCTATCTACCGCTATTAGCCTGTCTACCGCTATTAGCCTGTCTACCGCTATTAGCCTGTCTACCGCTATTAGCCTATCTACCGCTATTAGCCTGTCTACCGCTATTAGCCTGTCTACCGCTATTAGCCTATCTACCGCTATTAGCCTATCTATTAGTAGGTTGCTAATCCTTCGATTCGCTCGACCCTTTTAGAGTAGGCATACCTCGCGGTATACTTGCGGTAGCATCGCCGCTTAGGTTAATTATCTTAGGCGGCTAATTCGTATCGATAACCTTCTTAGTCTATAGCTTTTCTTTCTTAATCTTAATGCTGTTAACTACCTTTTACTAACTCGCTATATTACTCGTACTAGTACTAGTAATAGCACTTAACCGATGTTTCCGCTTTTGTTATTATTGTTGCTTCTCCTACTTAGTCTAGATATAGAGCTTAATCTCGTAGACTAATAATAACTTTGTTGCTAGTTTGTAGACCGTTAAAGCCTATCTAAGTAATCGAAGCGCCTTGCTTGCTAGCTTCTCTAGTTAATTAGTTAGTTTATTAAAGTCTATATAGAGGAAGTAGTTAAAATAGTCCTAGGTCCGATTAATACTACTATCTAGTAGCTCGCAGGCGTCAATCCGGTCTATAATCTAGTCTATAAATGTTATATCGGCTTCGAGGAATTCTTAGTTAGACTAGGCATCCGTAATAGTAGTATAGAGGGCGGGTTTACTATAGAACTATATCTTAGTTGTACTCGTAAGCTTGACTTCTATATACTAAGTATAGATTAAATAGCGGCAACGGTATTCCTATACTTTTAGGTCTAATAAAGCTAAAGCTAAAGCAGGTATTAGTAGACGTTACGAGAGGCTCCGAGATCTAGCATTTAGTAGTATTCGAGTTACTAGCTTGTAATACTAACTAGCAGCATTGCGTGTAGCATTAGCCGCCTTAGGTATAGAGGGGAACGTATTAAAGCCTCGTACCGTACTCGCGGAGCTACTCGTAGCGGCGGCTACTAATTGCTCGCGAACAAATTGCTCGGTTAGTAGATCGGGATTAAGAAGGCCGCATTGTAAACAGTATCGGTATTTACTATATATCTTTGCATAGTCGACGCCTAATTTAGTACAATAGGTACCCTAATTAGTAGGCATTGTTAGATAAATAGAGGTAGAAATAGTAGAGGTTTAAGAAGGTTATAGATAAAATCGAACTAGAAAAAGCGACTCGCTATATACTCGCGGCCGGCTCGTAGATCGGAGATTAGTATATATTATTTGTAAACTTAATTAACCTAGCTTCCTAATTCCGAGCCGCCGCTAACTAACTACGTGCTACTAATAGCTTATCTAACTCTATTAGTTCCGGCTCTAACCCTATAGCTATATGCTCCCTAGCTAGCCCTCGAAGAAGCAAGTAGGCAGAGCGGTAAAGGCGCTCTATATTATCGCTATTCTCGCTACTACTTACTAGATACGAGAAGCTATAAATCTACAATGCTATCTAACACTAAGAAAGCGTAGCCTCGGGCAGGTAGGCTTCAAGATCTAGGAATTAGCGAGTCTATTAGCGAGTCTATAGCGAGTCTATAGCGAGTACTATAGAATCTAATATATACCGAATCCTTAAAGGTCTTGCTCTATATTATTAAGTGCGCCGTTAGGTATAGGAATACCTTAATAAGAATGCCCGCTAAGCTCTAGATAATAGTATAGAATATGCGGAATACCTAGTATAACGTATAGTCGATTAGCCTGCTTCCGGATACGATAGCTATTCTAGAGGTAAACAAATTCGAGGACTTTATAACGTATAATTAGTATATAGATTATAAGGAAGGCAATCCGATCCGCTAGCAGTTTAGTATCGTATAGTAACTCGCGCAGTAACTCGTAGAAATAGCCCCTCTAGCTATTTAATACGGGTGCTTGCTAACGCTACTATGCCTTAATCCGCTAGTTTATCTTACTCGTACCGTATTTAAAGCAGTCCTCGAAGGCTAGCGGTTGTTCCGGGTTACTACGAGTCGCAAGGCGAGTCTTATAGTAAGCGTCCGTAGCTAGAATCGTCTCTACCCTATAGTCTAATCGGATAATCTATAGCATTATACTACTATTCCGGATCGTTGTAAGGTATTAAGCTAGTATAGAGACAGCTGTCCGGCTAGTAATACCTATATAGATCTAGACAATATAACGCGAGTAAATATTAATCGCTACGTAGATCTGTATCCCCTAATACTCGAATTTGTAGTAAGTATCTATTAATATTACGTAACTAGGGCCGGGTATAATAATCGCTCTATAGTGCTCTCGCGCCCGCTCGCGGCGGACTTGCAACCCTTTAGGATTTAGTAAGCTGTCAGAGCCAAAGAGGCTATACGTAATTGGCATATAATTAGGCCGAGTAAAGCTAGGGTCTTAGTGCCTTAGGCAGGGCTTGGCGCTTAGCGTTAGGCTAACTCTCCTACCTTCCTCCCTCTCCTCCTAGATCCTTATCGAATACTACCTATACCTACTACTACCCTATCTACCTGCTAATATAACCCTTCTTATATAGTATTCGATCTACCCCTTTAAGGGTAGCAGCTAGATAGTCCTTATTTTAAGCTTTTAGCGGTATAGCTACGAATAAGACTAATCTAACTATATTGCGCCCTAAGAACGGGACCTATACGTACTATTCTATCGAAACAACCGTACTAATTATTAAGCAAGGCCTTCTATACGGCCTATTACACTAAGTTAATCGCACTAGACTAATACCTACTAATTCCGCTATATCCGCATCTTAGGGGCTAATAATACATTATTAGTGTTACCCCCTATTATAATAGCCGGCTTATTACGAAACAACAACCGTGCTGCCGCTAGTAGCGCTAGCAACGACAATACTAGTAGCACAGTGCCTACTAAAGTGCCTACTAGAGCACCTACTAAAGTGCCTCCTACCGAAGAGCCTACTATAGGACCTGCTAAAGAAGAACCTACAGTTCTAGGTAACGACCTAGAATTGCCTATCGACGACATTCTTAATAATATTGTTAACCGTCGATATAGCTAGCTAGCCTTTAGTCCCTAACTAGTAGCGAGACTTTAGGAAGCTACCTAAAACAGGCTTACTGCCTTGCGTTAAGAACAATAGCTAAAGGATAATCTCCTCGAGATTCGCCGTCTATAGGAAGCCCTAACAACTAATACTAAGCCGATAGCAGGGCCTTCCTTACTACCCGTCCCTGTCTAAAAGAAGGATGCTAAGCTTAAGGACTATACTATATTTAACGGCTCTAGTCGCAAACAATACAATAATTACATACGCGATTGTAAGCTTAACTAACGAAATGCGCCGAGGGCTCTTCTAGATGACTATTTACTAGTTGTCTACGCGATGCAGTATATTAATAGCGACCTAAAGCGTACCTAGGATAACTATTTCGACTCTCTTACCGATTAGACCGCTATTTAGTAGCAAGACTACAAGACTATTATACTAGACACCCTTAGAAACCCTATACTAAGGCAATAATACGCTTAGGACTAATACCTTCGAGCTAAACAAAAGACTAATCAATCGGCTCGCTTATTTAAGGCCTATTTAAAGACCCTCGAGGATGATTTGCTAGCTAAGACCGACTCTATCTAGATTTCCGAAATACGCCCTAAATTGCGATAGGAGCTTATCCTCGAATTAGACCGTCGCCGTGTATTCGAACAAGCTAATCTAATACGCATTCAATTTATAGTCGAAGTGGAAATAGCCGAACGGGCTGTTTAGCTCTAACAACGACTAGAATTAAGGATCCGACTAACTAGTACTAACCGTAGCAACCGTAGCCGCGGAGGAAACTAAGGTTCCTACTAGGACAACAACGCTAACAGTAGGAATAGTAACAACGACCGTAGAAGAGGCCGTAGCCGCCGGCTATATAGAGGAGGCCGCGATAGAGGCCGTAGAAGAGGCTCGTATCCCTATAATGCTAACCGCTCGGCTAATAATAGTAATAATAGCTACGGTAGTCTACTAACCGGATTGAAGTGCTTCAATTGTAATAGCACTAGCTATCTACTAGGCTAATGCGACAAACCTAAGGACTAGGCCCGAATTGACCGTGCTTCCGCTAAGCATAGGAAACATCTTTTAGCCGCTAATACTACCCTAGTCGGCTCTTTTAATTAGTCGAAAAAAGAGTAAGCGCCGCACCAACTATTAGCCTTATACGGCGTAAGACTATCGACATTGTGCTAGCTATAATACGCTCCTACCTTATATAGGATACAAAGGGTACTACCTATTAAACTAAGGTTATACTAGATCTAGGAAATTCAGTTAGTGCCCTTATTAGCTATCGCCTAGCTAAGCAATTAGACCTTCGACAACTGCCGAAGACTAACCTGCTAACCCTTGCTTAGTTTAATAACGCTCGGCACTTAACCTATAGGGCCTACTATATTCCTATAGCTCTAAAGGACGACCTCGGAAATAAACGCCTACTAGACTTTACTGCCTACGTAGTAGATATAGACAACCTATATAGGGGAGCTACTATTGTTATTAGCAACCCTGTTCTTAAGTACTACGCTGTAGCTATAGACCTAGGCCTCTAGAAGTAGCGATTTAGAATCGCTAGGAAAGAGGACATTAAGCATATTAATGTTAGCGAGTGCCCTAACGATATTAGGGTCCTGTTTATTAGCAACCTAACACCTGCCTTAGCTAATCCGACAGCTAATCTTCTCGGTAGAGATAACGATAAACCTATACCCCCTAATAGCATAGACCCTAATTAGCTCTCTCGTATACTAGTGCCTATTCGAGAAACCTATATTAATGTATTTAAATACTACCTAGCATCGACATTGCCTATATTCAAAGAGACGGATTATAAGATTAATATTATAGAGGGCAAGGAGGTTCCTTTTAGCCCCCTCTACAACCTTAGTAAACGAGAGCTTGCTATACTGCGTAAGTACCTAGAGGAAAACCTAGCTAATAGTCGAATCCGATATAGCAACAGCCCTGCTAGTGCACCTATCCTGTTCGTACTAAAGAAGGATAGCGGCCTGCGTTTATATGTTAATTATAGAGAGCTTAACGCTGTTACTATTAAAGACCGCTATCTACTCCCGCTTATTAATAAGACCCTCGACCGCCTTTCTAGTGCCTACTACTATACTATACTAGACATTAAGAATGCGTACTATCGCATTTGTATTCGTAAGGGCGATAAATAGAAGACAGCCTTTCGCACTCGCTATAGCTATTTCGAGTACTTAGTTATACTATTTAGGCTAGCTAATGCCCCTGCTACGTTCTAGTCCTATATCAATCGGGCCCTATTAGGCCTATTAGATTACCTCTGTATAGTTTACCTAGATAACATCCTAGTTTATATATACTTACCTAACATTGCGGAGTACTAGGCTATAGTCCGTAAGGTACTCGATCGCCTACGAGCCTATAGACTGTATTATAAGCCTTCTAAATGCACCTTTGCTACTAAGGAGGTAGCCTTCCTTAGTTTTATCGTATTAACTGATAGTATTAAGGCTAATCCTAATCGGATTAAAACTATTACTAAATAGCCTGTTCCTACGTTAATTAAGGAGCTATAGTCGTTCCTCGGCTTCGCTAACTTCTACCGTCGGTTTATTAAGGGCTATTTACGGCATGTAATGCCCCTAACTAAGCTTACTAAAACTAAGGCCAACCCGTTTAGAGAGTTTAAATAGACTAATAAGACGCAAGCCGCTTTTAACGGTCTAAAGCAACGCTTTACTAAAGTGCCCCTATTATACTATTTTATACTAAGCAAGTAGATCCGTATTAAGACTGACGCTTTACAGTTCGCTATATCGGCTATTATATTACAGTAATTAGATAAGGACCATTACTAGTACCTAATTGCCTTCTTTTTACGAAAGATAATCGATGTAGAGCGTCGCTACGAGACCTACGAGCAAGAGCTCCTAGCTATTATCGAGGCCTTTAAACATTAGAGGCACTATCTCGATAGTGTATAGCACACTATTTAGGTCTATATAGACTATAACAACCTCCGTAGCATTACTAAGGTTACTAGGGTTATAGGTCGATAGGCTAGATAGGCCGTCTACCTCGCCGGGTTTGATTTTAATATATTATATCGGCTAGGCGTAAGCAACCCTGCTAATAGCCTATCGAGGCGACCTAATTATAATAGCGAGACTTAGTACATCAATTTATTATTTCTAACCCTGCAGTATAAGATTGCTATAGCCCGTATTGTTAATAAGTAAGCGTAGGATAAGCGGACTTCCGGACCCCGCGGCGGTAACAAATACTATAGCGGAGTTATCGTTCTTCTAGTATACGTTAAGAAGGACGTAGATCGCTCGAGCTATAATAACTCGATTGAAGATATTGCTATCTATAGCGACAGCACTATAGAAGAGGTTGCAGTAGTTCCGGCTACTAGTGCTATTAGATGTATATAATACGTACCTCGTTCGATAGCACGGGTACTATTAAATAACCTTGCAAATAGGGATAGTTAATCGTTTATAGATAAGCTATTACGTGCTTAGTAGAGGGACGCCTTTGCTATCGAGCGTATTAATAGGCTTGTAAGTAGGCGGGCGACTCGATCTAGCAAGAGTAATAATAATTAGTCGATCGACGATAAGGGTTACTTAAAGTTTAAGGGTAGATACTATATCCCCGCTAAACAATCGATTAGATAAGAGCTTTTAAAGAGGCACTATAATAGTAAGCTTGCTAGTTACTATAGTATAGAGAGGTCGCACGAGCTACTATCGCGCATATACTACTAGCTAAATAGTAAACGGTATATAAAGGAGTATATACAGACCTATACAGTATACTAGCGAATTAAAGTACTAAAGCACTTACTATTTAGCGAGTTGTCTTTACTTCCTATTCCTAGGAAGCTATTTACTAAGCTTATAATAGACTTTATTATAGACCTTCCTCCTACTAAGCGTAGGGGTAGCAAGGATGTATATAATACTATCCTTGTTATAGTAGATCGATTTACTAAAGGCGCTCGATATATCCCGGCGCGTAAGGATTAGACTACTATTAATATAGCAGAGGCGCTATAGACTAACATCTTCTATACCTATTAGGGAACCCCTAAGGGGATCGTATCCGATCGTAGATCGATACTAACGTCTTACTATTAGAGCGAGATTTGCTTATAGCTAAGACTAAAGCATCGGCTATTAATAGCCTTCCATCTATAGACTAACGGTTAAACAGAGAGGCAGAATGCTACCCTATAGTAGTACCTGCGCAGTTATATTAACGAGAACCCTAACGACTAAGTTAACCTCCTACAACTAGCTAAATTCGTATATAATAACAGTGTCTACTTATCGACTAAGGTATTACTATATATAGCTATAATAGGCTAGAACGCTGCTATACTACAAGACCTACTATCGCTCGAGGCCGAGCGTAAGGAAAGGGAAGCGCGTTAAGTACCGGAAACACTAGCGGTAATAGAACGTATCTAGAAGATGCGAGAAATCTATACTAAGATAGCTAAGAAGCTAACAAGGGCTTAAGAGTACTAAAAGGCCTACTACGATAAGCGCTATATACTAATAACCTTTAAACAAGGCGATATAGTTATGCTAAGCATGTTACGGTTTAGATATTAGTGCGGCCGATCCTACTTCGGATACTGTCGATCCTGCCGCAGATTATAACGATTAATGTATATAGTTTCCTAGGCTAGTAACTAACTAACAATTAATTATCTTTGTATACTAGAATCGTATCCGTCTCCGCTCTATAGAGCGTATCCTAACAACTTAGTAGCTTCGCTAAGATTACGACCTAATTAGCTTCTATACTAATTAACTCCTCTACTAGAACCGAGCTATTAGTCCTAATTACGACGAGAACCGAGACGATTAGCTAAGGATCCCCCCGATCTAGCGCCGACCGCGACGATTTGACTCGCTATATTACGACCGATATTCACTCGATTTATACTATTCCGCACTAGTCGGCGGCTACCTACTATAGTGCCTCGCCGACACTAATATACTATATACCCGAATCGCCTAACCGCGGATTCGGTAGGTAGCCGCGCTTTAGCGGCCGGTAGCCGTTTCCCCGTATCCCTAGGAAGGCACCTTTCGAGGAATAACAGAAGGATTAGCCCTAACTAGTTAACAAACTACCTTTTGCTACTAATCCGGACAGCCTCCGTAACGATACTCTACTATATAACGCTTTACGTTAATCCTACGCTTCGTTTCGCTTCTAACCCGGACAGAAGCACAAATCTGTTAAACTAGCGGTCTAACTACTACCCTAGTACCGTAATCTTAGATTACTAGATACTAAGTCTTATATCCTACGCATTTGTATCTTTATCGGCTACTACGTCCGGTATAGCGAGAATTTTGCAGTCTAACTTAGAGCAAAGTACGGCCGTATAGACCTGCTTGCCTCCTACGTCCTATAATACTACCCGCGACTAGGAAATCTACTACCGTCTTAGGCTAAGATCGACGAGCTATACTTATATACCCTCGACGGAATCGACTTCCCTAGCTAGTAGATAGTCGATAAAGGCACCTTAATACGATCGGTTAAGGAACTAAAAGTAGCCTTTCCGAATACTCGCGATTCGCACTATTATAAGTAGTTTTTCCCTAAGGTATACTCGCCCGCGGATATCGAACGAGTACGAGTAGGAGAGCAACGCCCGTAGCCTAATCCGGCTACTTATCGCTCGCCTTCTTCGTAGGCACTAGAGTTTTCGCCGATTACTTAGTAGGCGGCGTCGTTGCTACTACCCTCTCCGAGTAGGCATCGACCGCCTAGAGCTACTACCTATTCGGAACAACTACGCGCGCGACGTCCTAATAATTATATAGATAGTATATTGCCCTCTATGTTCCTATATAGACCGTTACTAATAAGGATCTCTAGCGATAAATCCTCGCCGTTAGAATCCTCGCCGTATCCTCTACTAGATAATAGACGAGGCCCGATAGACTATAATTATAAGGACGCGCCGCGAGGCCGCGGGCTAACGAAGGGAAATCTAGGCAATAGCGAGCCTCGTAGCCGGTACTAGCGTCCGCTATCTGCAGGGTCTACGATAGAGCTAGATCGTAGCGAGATCCGTAAATAACTAGACTAGTAGCGCCTATATGCCTTATAGGAGTTAGTACTACGTCGAGGCATTGTCTTAGATAATCGCCTCGCCTAATTTCTTATAGAATAATGCCTTTCTCCTTAACCGGATTAGACCGGTTCCTAGGCGGGCCCTAAAGACTACGATAATAGTCGCGACGATCGTTCGTATATCGTAGGTAGCGATCGTTCCTACGCCGGCTAGGACGATCTAGGGTAGAAGGACCGCGACGGCTACTATAGCTACGAGTTCCGAGAGCAAGTCGAGGACTATCTTAGCCGGCGTTAGAGGTCGCGACTTAAGAGAGCGGGTTTAGTTTCCGAGAGCAGCCGCCGCGACTCGCTATAAGATCTAAACGACTCGCCTAACGGCTAACTAGCTAGCTACGGCCCGCGGTTAGGTCTAGACGGTAATTAAGGCTATAATTACGCTGCCTATAGCGGAGGGAATGCTAGCGGAGATCCTCGCTACTACTAGTAACTAGGACGCGATAGGAATACTAGCTAGATAGGCAAATTTGCTCCTAATAATCTATATAATTACTAGCAAACGTACGCCTAGGGCTAGGCCGCTCGTAAGCCTAAACGCAACGGAAATGCTAGCTAGGCGGGCTAATTTACTCCTAATCTACGCTATTACTAGCAACCGTATGCCTAGGGCTAGGCTGCTCGGGAGCCTAAACGTAATAGAAACGCTACCTAGACAGGCTAATTCGCTCCTAATCTGCTATATTACTAACAAACGTACGCCTAGGGCTAGGCTACTCCTAGCTAGATACGATAATTCGCTCCCGATAACCCTCGCTACTATTAATAAGCGCCGCCCCGGGGCTATACTACCTATACTAGAGGGAATATAGGCTAGTTGCGCTAATTTCGTCTAGATAATTCTCGCTATTACTAACAAGCTTACTAGCAAGCTTATATCCTAGGCCCTTATACGTAAAATAGTAGCTCGTACGACGCTAACCGATACGATAGCTATACGGAGTATAGCGAGCTAAATCCCGGTTATTAGCGTAAGAACCGGAAGAGAAAGTATCGCGCTCGCGGTTCCCCTTTGCTATCTAATAGCTCGTCGAGCGACGATAATAGCTACTATAGCGGAAAATACGGCGCGCATCGCCGGGCTCGCTATTATCGCTATTATAGAGATCGTTCCTCGTCTAAATTAGACTCCGAAGAACCGGCCGACTATCGGTACCGTCCTAGGTTCGATCTAGCCTATCTAGGATTCTTCGACCTAACGCTAAG